ACATGTTATTGGCTAGGTAAGTTGTCAGACAACAGTGAGACGAGTTTAATAACACAACTCTACAGAATGAAAAAGCCACTTGCTCTCTAATGCACTAACGTGTATATTTTCTTTATTTCATGCAAAAGAGAGAGAGAGAGAAAAGTTTGATTTTATATACATATATAATATCTTTATATTATATATGTGTATATTTACTACTCGGAAACAAATATGCGCGCGAATAAAATTCTTTTAGAGGTGCAAAAAATTTTATTTTCCAGAATGCGATTTTCACGCGATGATAATTGAATACTATGAAAATTGCGCAATGCTTCGCTATCAATTAGCAATTATTATCGCGCTTTGCTTACCAATGCACGACGTACACTGCAACATTTCGCGTTTGCTGACATTACTTGTGGTATTACATTAAATTAAATTATCCATACATTATTCATCAGCTCCAAAGACGAAATTGTGGAGAAACAGGCATGTAGCCCACAGCAAACTACTCAAGCATAACAATCATTGTTATTACAGATCCGCCTTACCTAATGATATGAAAAGCCCTTTGAGATGAAAGATAATATGTTAATCTCGATAGTAGGTTCTAAGTCATTGTACTGAAAGGCCCAAAGGACCTTTATTCACACGACCGCGAATTTCTTGTAATTTGATTAAATTACAAATATATATATATATATATAGGATAATTCAATTTTTACAAATGCAAAAATTACATATCAGTGTCTTGTATTAAAAATCGAAGACCTTTTCGTCGCGATATAATATTTACTTATTACATATATATATATATATATATATATATATATATATATATATTATTTTATAATAACAATCATTTGTTACAATTCATGTTAACTTATATATATGTTTAGATAAAAAAAATCAGTATAGCTTTATGTTATATAAATTACTTTTCTCGAAAAGTAAAATTCGATTAACAATAAATATAAATTTATTCCTCATTTCTCATTTTTTTCACTTTCTCATCGAATGTGTCATACTTTACATCTCACGCAGAGCAATAAAATAATAGTCTCATAAATTAAATGCGTCGCACTAAATAAAAATTATCGTGCACAATTTAAGTATAAATAAATTTTATATGCATCTGCAACTTTATGTGATAATAATCGAACGGATATCACGCGAAATAATTGCGCTAATACGATATGAAAAAAACCTACATATCTTTGAATAGTGTAAACTAAAAATTAATAATTTATGTATATGTATCGACAACTTTCTTGCTACCCTGCGAAAAACTTCTTATCGCAAACTCGCCGTTTAATAATTCATATATCCTGCAATGCAATCTAAATGTTTGCGAGATCCTTGCTTTCACGATGTCATAATGCATCATCTTTCATTAACGATCATATAGCCGCGCATTCGAGACTCTCTATTAAAAACTTTATTTATACACTTTAAAGATTCACTATTATACGATACTTAACAAAAAACTGCAGCTTGCATACATTTTATTTATCTCTCACCCTTCTTCAACGTCGAACTCGACATCGATATATACTTTATCCGTACAAGTAATCAAAATCATAATTGCATTCGTGTATTTGCTGGAAAAAAATAATACGCGAGCCATTCATTAATACATCTCACAAAATTAATGCGTACGAGATATTTTTAAAATATCTGGCTATATTTTACGAGCATAATCTATGCTTCATATCGAAAAGTCATATGATTACAATTTTGAAAATGCTTCAGGACAACGTTGACAAAATATACTAAATATGACATTTTTTAATACACCTTTGATAGTTTACTATGATATGAGATATGTACATTTGCTAAAGAGAATGATTCTCTTTCGTTTTTTTAACGATGTAATTATGTAATTATTATATATCTCTTAAATCTTTACGATACGAATAAAAATATGCTCTTGAAGTTTGGCCCCTCATTTTATTTGGCCTCATCATTTTTAACTATGTTAGCATAGTTGTATTAATATTTGTGATATTAATATCATTGGCTATATTCTTCGGCAGATATGTTTTAGCTTTTACGCGCCAGTCCACCGAGCATTCGACGGGTCGCAATTTCGATTGAAATTTCTCGCGTCGATTAAATGATTCGCAGCTCTTCGTCATTTTATTTAACACGAATAAATGGGTATACCGCCCGCGTACTTTTACGAGAGCGCAAAAAGAATCGGAAGAATAACGTACGAACCGGAAGCGAGCAGACGAGAGTATCGACGATGCGAACGCGCTAATTGAATCGTTTTGCGTGTGTCGTTCGCGCCGGTGATACCGACGAATTTAACGGCCGATTACGCGTCACGCCACTGAACGGGAACGTAATACATCTCTCGTGCATGGATACCCGTGCGGATCGAACCATCATCGGCACTCGTAAATTCGATCTCTTGTTTCGTCGCGTCGAGGAAGATCATACGAATCTTCATGCTTTGGCTCGTGTGCGCATCTACGATGTGCGCATCTTTTCGCACGTGTCGAGGCTTTTCAATTATTCATCGCGCAAACGCGATCGTGCTTGCTCCTTTCGGCGAAAGGATTTACACGTGGAATAAAGCAATGTACATACAAGTGGAGTTCTTATACACGCCTGGTCATATTCAAAGGGGTTACACCCGTGCGTACGAAATTTTTAATAATTTTTTATCTTCCAATATAAAAATTTCCAAAAGATTCAAAAGATTCGATAGATTTTTACAACTATCATTCTATGTGTACGCACCAATAGTATCGATAAAAGATACGATTGCAACAAATACGATATATGTATAAATTTCTTTTGTTCCGATAAATGTTTGAATATTAAGTAAAGCATCGATAATTTTTTCGGCAAACGATATCATTATTGCGATATCACATCGCTACGAAATGTCGATCGTCGCATTATCATCAATGGCGAAATGTCAGCCGTGTAATGATAACGCGTACATGCGGGATAGCGGCAGATCGCGTGAACGCACGGTATAAACCAAATCGTATACATGTATTATTCGCGCTCTTGTGTATGTGCAAAGCCGCAACCATTATAAACGCAACGTTTAATTTGCGCGAAACTGTCAATAAAGGAATATTACCGGATATAATTAAATCGAGCAAACAAACTCCGAATGTCATCAAAATTTAAGTCGCCGACGTTGGGGCATTTACTAACTAATTTAATGTCGATCGAATTAATCATCGGTAATTTATTCGTCCTTTGCTTCACGTCATTTCATCGAGACTTTATACGATTGTACGATGTATATTGTATATAAAGAATTCCAAAGCTGTTAAAAGCTCTTACATCGCGCCCATTTTCTGCGAGCTACGCACGCGTGCGCGCGCGCGCGCGCAGAAAATGACGATGCAAACGCTGCGCTGCTTAAATATAAATCCCTTCTCTTCTCTATCGCAATCTATCAGTGCGCGTCAGCCGTCGCGCCTTCGCGCGCTAGCGAATTTATCGTAGCGTGTATCTATACACACGATACGGCGAGCCGCCCGCCCGATATAACCAATCTGCTGCCCGGCAGAATGCAGTGGCCAAAGCGCCAATAAATATGGATGGAGTAGTAATAAATTATGGCTGGAAAAGACGATTAGGATGCGGCTATAAATTATCATGGATATATCGCGCGGCCTATGCGACCGTGCCTTATGGCCATCCCACATGTCCAATAATATGGATATTTTTCGGCCTTTAATCCGTTTAACCGCGAATATTTGTCCCTTTTTAATTCGTTCGTCTCTCGATTTCTCGATATTTTTATTTTGTCGTGCCGTTAGCGCGATATTTATCGTTATCGGCAAAAATAGAGAATCTCGTTATAAAAACATTTTCTCCTTTTTATCTTATCTACACCCAGAAGGCATATCCGAGCTATTTTTATTATACGTATATACACACATCAGAAACTTTGAATTTTTATCCGTTTCGGTGTCGGTCCAAAAAATTCTTACCTTTCGCAAAATGCAAAATATTTATTTTCGGTAGTATTAATGTAATTTTGCAAAAAACATTCCAATTATAAAAGTAAAAAGATTACAAAAAAAATAGTAAAAACATGCCCTTGATATTTTTACGATAAAACTTTTTCTCAAATATATAAATTATTCAATTTAAGATACAATTTTTTCTAGAAAATTAAGCATTAATGATATAAATTCGTTTAATATTCATAAAAAAGGCGAAATAATGTGTAATCGAGAAACGAAAAAAAAAATTCCTTCGAGCCGGATTTGAACCAGCGACCTATGGATGGCTTCCAAATCTATTCAACGATCAACTACAGTCCACCGCTCTACCAACTGAGCTATCGAAGGTTACACGTACGACGTGAAATTTAACCTTCAGAAAGAATCGTTACACGATCTCGATTTAATCTTTACTTTTAGGCAACATTTCAATGTTTGTAAAAATTTCGCAATATGCCTCTCACACAAGATTAATCTAAATATGAATGTCATCGAATAATATTGTACATACACCGATATTAAATTTATAAAGCACAAATAAAATAATTAGACATTACTACGTGTTAAACACACATACGCCCTTGCATCGCAAAGCACGTTAATTCTTTCCAGTGCTTTCTGCGCGAGATATCTTCTCTTGAGAATAATATAATTAATAAATAAGTAAATTTCGCAAAAAATTCTCGTAAGACTTATCGCTTTATTGAAATACATTTATTCATAAAATTCTACAACAGATTTCGCGGGCAAAAATGATTTTGCAACACATCTTGAGCATCTTGTGTCACGTGTGTGTGTGTATATACGTATATATACAGCTGACTGAATCGCGACAGGGCAAGCCCAGGTAAAGTTAGATGATAAATATACGAACGGCCGTACATTGGCCATTTAACGCGCGAACACGCGCGAATCACCATCGTGAAACGATCGCGTCGAAAATGTAAATTTCGCAGTAGCGCGATGAAGAAAAATTACGCTCCGTAGAAATCATATACGATCATTTAATTCTAATCTAATCTGTGAAAAGCGACTCACCAAGGTCTGCTCCGTTCAATGTCAATCGTTGTCCTCGTCCTGCTCGGCTGCGCCAAAGATGCAGAAGGCTTTCGATGCTAGGTCGTCACGTTGCGTCACGACCCACTTTGATCGGATACCCGCGAAAACGTCGCTGTACTCGCACGTTCACGTTCACGTTCACGTTCATATCAATGCGTCACGTCAAAACTCTCGGCTGCATCGCGCAACAAACTATAGACACACGCGCAAAATGGCGGACTACTCGATACGTCATTTAGATTCTCAGCTCCGTCGCTAGATGGCGCGAATCAAAATATACTCGCGGCGACATCTATTAAACGTCATCGAAACTTATTCTCTCCCCTCGAATCTTTTATACTCTGCGCAAGGTGCTAATTTGCCTTCTTGGCTAAAGTTTTATCAAATAGATCTTGTTGCGCTTTGGCAAAAGAAAAATAATAGCGCGCGATGGCAATTTCAAGGAAACTAGTCGCGGAATCTATTCCGGATCGAGAGTTTGTCTCGATATCCGCGTATATCGTCGGTATATTATCGCCAATGATGGTAAACGTAAGGGTTTACGTAATAACGATATACGTATACACGTGTTTTACGAGCTCACACAAGACACATCGCAATAGTTTGTTACATGTAAACGAGATTCACACTTTAAATAATAATAATCGCGAAAAATATGAGACACTTTAGCTGCGGCTTTACACGAACCGTCGCGCTTTTTGTACAACGCGCTTTACACTGTGATATTGTACTCTTTTATTTCCTAGCTTCTCGTTAATTTCTCGAGAGGGCGTTAATGTAAAGTGGCGCAAACTTTACGCTATTAACGTCCTCTCGAGAAATTAACGAGAAGCTAGGAAACAAAAGGGTACAACAGTACAAAAGTACAATAGTACAATATACATATCACCTATCGAAGCGTGTCGTAAACTCGTAAATACAAAGCAACGTATGAATCCCGATGTCCGGTGCGTCTATAAAGGTATATAAAAGGTATATAAAAGATATATAAAAGTCTGTAATCCTTGATTTATACGGATTTTATCGGAATGAAGTAAAAATTTCTTGAGAGAGAGAGAGAGATGGACAGAATTAGAATACCTATTTATCACATTCTGTAATGAACTTGCCGTCTCGCCGTATCGACATATTTTTTCCGCCGAAATAAAGCCCTTTTTACGTTTACGTCAAATTAAGTTTATCGTACATGCTACATGGAAAAATGGCCTTATTTCTACAACGGTTAAATTTTAATTGTTATGATAATTCATCCCACATTCGATATCATTCCTGATGCCATTGGATGATGTCAGAGAAAAAACTGCTCCTGTCTGAAACACAATGTAACAGAGAACGATATATCTAAGATAACATGCGAAAAAGAAAGAATTGTGAATTATAATAGTCAGGAATGTGGATGCCAATCAACAGCGATAACAAAATTCGATCTTGATCTGTAAATATGATGATACTCGGGGTGAATTTCATAAATTCATTTTCCATCACATTTGATATCTTTTATTTTTTTATGTCTCAATTCAGGTGATTTAAATGGATTCGACATGTAATCGACACGTAAAATGATAAGAGAAGCGAGTCTTTTGAAAAATATCGGAGCTTGAGATGTTGTTCATAAGAGGTGAACTAATAATAGGCATGTGTCGATTGATATTTTGAAAATTATAAGAATTTTGCAATATTCTATTACGTATAATAATGCGATCATTTGTAATTTATTATAAAATGTAAATGTAAGTAATTTTTATACAACTTTGGGATTTAAAAAAAATTTGTATTTGTGTATGTTGCATATATATTTATATTGTATATATTTGAAATATGTTATTATATAGAATATATTCATAATCATTGAATATATTAATAATAAGATATATTTATTGCGAATCGTACATATCAACAATGTAATGTATGTACATCCAACATTTTTTACAAGATATAATGATCAATATACACAATTAGAAATTGTTTTGAGTAAATTAAAAATGTATATAAATTTTTTAATTTTTTTATATTTTTTTTGATCATTTCTAAACATCAGTCTTATTTTGATGTGTATTTGGCTGAAAACATGTACGGTTAATGAATCAATTATTAAAAGAATAACCAATAAAGATTAATTTATAACTGAATGAAAAGTTATTAAAAGTAGTCAACATTTAATTAACAAATTTAAAAATATTGTTAGATTTATAAAAATCAATTCACTTTAATTTTTATTTTGTAGATATACAATTATGAAACATGTAGATATAAATTTGCAAATGTATATAATTTTAAAATATAAACAGTCGAGTTTAAATGTTTAGTATGTCATGTATATTATCCACTATTATTATCATTTAATACCAGATCTATATATCTACTTATCTATCTGTCTATCTCTCTTTGTCTCTCTCTTATCTCTGTTTCGTGTCAAAATTATGTCCAAACAATTAAAAAGTTACCTGTTAGCACATGACATAATTATACTTACACAATTATTTTTATCCACAGTAAGAAAAGAAAAAAAAAATTTAGAGAGATTTGCAGAGCGCTTTCTTCCTGAATAGTAGTATTTTATAGTGTTATTATAAAAAATAATTTCACAATTTTATAATTTTTATACATGTGCGCGCATTTGAGGATGTATTAATATTTATCGGTATTTTAGTTATTACGAAATATCGTTTGTGTATAGTAATGACAATATCAAGTTAATATATACCATTATCGAATCGATTGGATATTATCCTGCGCGTTATTTCACTCTTTAATTTAATATATATATTTTGATATTTATATATCATTTTTTTAAATGTATGCCATTGATATTGATATTGATTATTATGTAACAACAATCATTGTTACTATTAATCCTCTTTTGTTTGTAAACTAACTTCTTTACATCGAAGCGTTGCCGCTTCTATGGCATCGATTAATGCCGATCTTAAGCCGTGTCTTTCTAAATGATGAATACCCGTTATAGTGGATCCTATAAATTGGAAAAAAGTATAATTATTGATTAAGAAAGAGAGATGTATTGTATATTGCATATTTACAATTTCTGACCTGCTGGTGAAGCTACGTCGTCCTTAAGCTGTCCTGGATGCATATTTGTTTCACGGACCATAGTGCCGGCGCCTAAAACAGTTTGCGCAGCGAGTTTATAAGCGATGGACCTGGTAAGTCCCATTTTCACTCCACCATCAGCCATAGCTTCGATTATCATGTATATCTAGAAAAGATTTTCTTTCCTCATTAATTATTTTGTGAGAAATATGTTTGAAAGAATCCAAAGAGATGCAAGGGAAGAGCCAATAATGCAAGCTTCGCGCAGAGATAGCGATAGCGATTAGAAACAAAAAAAAGTCCCATTGGTCCCGTTTTTTTGTTTGTCAGATTTAACATCATTTTCTCTATCAATTATTGTAATAATAAATTATAAATTATATGTTCTCGCATAAAAACTATTTTGTTTGAAAATTATTACAAACGAATTGATGGAAAGTTACTAACATAAGCAGGACCGGAACTAGCCAACGCGGTGACAGGATCGATGAGATTTTCTGGTACTTCTTCACAAATTCCTACAGCGGAAAATAATTTCTCCGTGATTTCGGCGTCTTTATCACTTGCGTTCCTGCCGCGCGCGAATACCGTGGCTCCGCAACCCACTAATGCCGGCGTATTCGGCATTACTCTTATTACGGGGGTGTCTTTTGGGAGTGCCTGAAAATATATTTGCACAAGTTATATTTTTTTTTGCGTTATCACGATTAGTTTGCAAGAAATCAACGTATATATGTTTTCATCATATATGCGTTCATAGATTTTCATTCAAAAAAAATTTATCAAAATTCAAAGAGGAAAGAGGCAATAATGCAATATATCGATATGATGCTAAGAAACTAGAAAATAAAAAAAAATTCTTTCCTCTCCGTTTTTCTTAGGTTTAACACAATTTTCGCACTCAACTATTGTAATTTAATAAATTATTACAATGATATTTTTACCTTTTCTAGCGAAGCCAAAGAAATACCCATGGCAATGGAGATGAGTAATTTTTTATTATCGTGTACTTTCTCTCTGGTAAACTCTGGTAAAATTTTCGGTACAATTTGCGGTTTCACTGATAAGATGAGCACATCGCCGTAATCTATGACTGTAGCATTAGCGAAAACAGTACTTGATCCCATTTCCTAAAGATATTAATTAATCGGATGCAGATTTTTGTACGTGCATATGTATATAAACACACGAAATGTTATTGTTCATTTACACACGTTTTCCCGCACGATAATTCTGCAGATATAAGATTGTCCAGAATTTCCAATATCAGCAGAGAACTTTGGGGTTCGGAATACAGTTATAATGTGTAAGAATTGACACGATTAAAACGAAGAATATTTCTTTTGTTTATATTTTGTATATACATGTAATGTTCGATAAGAAAATGTCGCTACTCGAGTACTGGAAATTCTGCAGTTTACGTGCGTCATGTATATTATAACTTTTCAGTAATGTCGAAACGCGCAGCCTATATAAAGATGGAATGAATTATGTTCTCACTTTAAATGTCTCAATGCTCCCAATATCGTTTGGAAGGCAGCTAGCCAGCATCATCTCGCCTTTACTTAAACCTATAAAATAGAAAAAAGAATCTCGTGAAAAGATGCGAAAAGCATCCGAAATGTTTTCAATGAATTTCTATCGATTAAATTTTATATCCATTCGATTATTTTCACCTATACATAATCGTTCGTTAAGAAAAAAGATCTATGTATCGTAAGACATATTTTATAATTTTTTTTTGTTTATAGAAGACAATTATTATTTACCCGCTCGTATGAAACCTCTAGCGAGGGCCTGAGCCATTTTTCCTCCGCCGAGAAAACCGATTTTCAGCATGTTGGTATCGATGTTTAACGGTATCCTCTGCTCTTTCACTTCGCCATCCGCAAGAAGCTGATCGCTTACTATACATACAAATGAAAACAAATTATCGCTCTCACATTTTGCAATACGTTATGCATTATAAAAAACCGAGCAAAACAACAATGATGATAAAAAGAGTATTTGGACGATATTTGGAGATATTTGAATTTGATTAATCACGCGAATTATTCTTGTAACGATAATCAAAAGGCCTAACATAAGCTTCACGCCTTTCGCTCCGTACGAACGATTAAACTATCTCTGCTTTTATTCGGTTCCATACAACAAGCTAGTTGCAATGCTCGTATTTGTAAATGTAGTATTTTATACTGATACGAACATGCGAGCGCGCGATAAGACGACGACTCAAGTTTATAGGTTTTCACGCTGCCAAGATCGGTCTCTTATTCAAAAACGAGATATTCGTATGTCGCATCTTTTTCTACATCTTCCGCGCATCATCTCCCGTTGTTTGTGCAAAGATACTTTTTATTTTTACGTAATCTCATGCGAAAGATAACAGCCTCGTGCATTATGCGTACGTCCTTCAGCTGGAAGACGCGCAATCGACCGCGCGGTTGACTTCTCTTTCCGCCAAACTCATTCGGTCGCGCATTTAGATTGATTTTGTGGCAGTTTGCTGGAGCATATAATTCTTGTCCGTTTCAACGTAATAATGAACAAGTATTAAATCAACTTGTCTCTCCCCGTGGTTATACTATTCGTAAGTTTGTGGTCATTTTAATACATATTTTAACTAAACAGATATTATTCTCTGTGGTCTTGCCCTTGTCAATCGCAAAAACCACATGCAATCAAAATAGGCCACGTGCATGATTTTAGAATTACACAATATTACGAGTTAATATATATATATATATATATATATATATATATATATATATGTATGTATGTATGTATGTATGTATATGTATATGTATATGTATATATATATGTATATCTTCCTCCTCCATGTACATAAAAATGATATATACGTACCATACTTGCGCATGTTTAAATTCTGCCGAACACGGCGACTCAATCTCACGAAACCCATCGTCTTCAAACCGACATTCATTTTCATGATTACTTTTCGCAATTAACGTAATGTATGAATTAAAACAAGATTTACACATTTAGATGCGCAATATGTAATAAGATTTCCAAATCTTTGTCGGTTTGATAATTTTTCATAAAATCCAAGACTTTGTACAGATTCTGAAAAGAAATAAAATGTCGTGAGATATTTAGTGTAAATTTACCTTATACACAGTGAATTTTCTACCATATTAATCTTTTACGTCGACATATGATAATGTAATAATGATTACTTATTTACAATGTATGTTTACAATCTATTTATTACCGATAGAGATTGATTCTTGGCTAACATAACATTACAAGATGATTAAAATGAAGAATCTTACTTTTTCATGTTCCCTCGTATAAATATTATTTACTCGCTAAAATATTATTATTTAGCTTGTATTATTCTGTGTTTAATATTATAACATAAAATATTAATGCAAAATATTAATATTAACCCTCTTTCCTCTTTCTTAATAAAAATTTAAATAAAATTTTAGATTCCGCAATTTAATTACAAAATTCGGCAGCAAATGGTATGTGTGTATGTGTATATATATATATATATATATATATATATATATACATACATATATATACGATATATATTTGCATCGTTAGAGTTACATATTCGCAACATTCTCTATTACATCTCATCAACAATAACGCAATTCGGGGGTTTGTCAAATTACATTGATTGTCATCATTTGACACTTGATGTTTCGCGTACCGAATAATACTAGCACACGTTTTCGTTATACGAACGAAAGTCGAACGAAAGTCTTATTCAAGATATGTAGATGGTGCTGGCCTGTCGGCGATACGGATCGATTGTGACTGACGCAATCAGCTGTTACTCCTATACTCCTCCGTTCGTAATTGGTGCAGATCGACGATACCTTTCTATTGACGATGATCTCATTACTACGCTCATCGTATACTTTCCGACATCCTTATATATGTTTTACTCGCAGCCTATCTGCTACGGAAAATTACCTGTTTGTATACGTAATTGAAACTCAAACACAATCATCGTTTCTTCTAGCGCATCATTCGATATCGTAAACAATTTCGGGTAGAGAATTAAGGCCTTTATCCTTGATTTAGAATTTGCGACACATAAAATTTTATTTAATAATTCTATCACTCACACACACACACACACACACACACACGTTTTAATATGTGCATACATTTGTTTGGATGTATATTTTGATTTTTGTATGTATTTTACGTTGAAATGTTTTCTGTATTACGCGACATACAAATAAAATTTATAATAATATAATAGAGTTTTATCTTGAGAATTTTATCGTAAATTATCGTAGATTGTAAAAGGCGCGCCCTATCCGATCCGCTCGAGATTTAGAGTAACTTTATATTCGAATGTAAACTTGGAATTATTTGTCACCTACAATTTTTCTTATTAGTATTTAAAAATATCAGTATTCGAATTGTGAAAAGAATAAAATTTATATTTAGAGGAGAAAAAAGTTATCTAACTATACATTTTTATAATATATTGGGAAAATATAACATGTCTACAAATTCCTCAGACTTGCGTGTATATTGGCTAGACTTGTGTATATTGTCGAGATTTTATATCTCGATTAGATATATTTGTGTGTATAAATATAAAGGACTCAAAAAATTCAAAATCTCAGAAATTTGAGCAAATTTCTGCCTACCTCTCTCTCTTCCTTTTCTTTCAATTTTATCACTCTCGTCTCTTCTCTCTTATTATTTTACAATCTTTAAAATTTGTTATCAATATTCACACTGGATAACATGCATTGCGTACAAAATATACAAATGTCGCTAAAGGTATGTAAAAATTAAAATCCCAAAGAAGGGGCTATTCTAGGGACTCTAGTAAAAATTATGCATAAAGAATTGTTGATTCCAGTTGGCTTTTTTTATATCGATCAATTATGTTTGTAAGAGAAGACAATAAAAAATAAGATGATTTTCTTTACTTGATTGTGTAATTGGTGAAGAGAAGGAAAAGAAGAAAAATGGTTGCTTCACATTCTAATTTTTTTATGTTTCTTTTACAATGACGATGGCATAAGAGACATATAAGACTCTGTTATAAGTCTAAGGTTTTAAATGACTTTTGGTCTATTTTTGGACTTTGCTCTTGATCTTAAGTATATCATGTTTGATATACATATAAATGCATTTTGAAAGCAAGTAGGAGAGACAAAATAAATAAAAATCCGCAAAATGTATTTATTTGTATTACTTGATAAATTATCATAATTATAAAGAAAGTTTTACGAGAGAATTCAAATATTTCTTATAAATTTTTATACATAATGTTAAATTTTACAATATAAAAAAATAACTATCTCAAATCGTTGTTATTCTTAAATGAAAATCGATAAAACGAGTGATACATTAATTGTGATTAAAATGATTAGATAACGTATTTTTCTTATTAGAATATCATAAAAATGTTTTATACTACTTTATTTCAATATACCTATATTAATATAAATTAATATAAATATTAATATAAATTATGACAAACAACTGGCGATGCACAAATTACAATACGATTTATGATGCAATGCAAACACGCAAATATGTTTTTTACATTTACATTAACATTTTAACAGACATAAATGCACACACGCTGGCGCCTGAACATTATATACCGAATTGCAACGCATTTAATAATTATATACAATATTTTTTAGATACCAGCAGCCATTTATTTGTTAGCGCTGTCCTATGTTTAATAGATTACAGTTAAAAATGTGATATTTGTATTTATACACTCCCTCAGGCGCATACACACACACACACACACACACATATATATATATATATATATCCATACATATTTTACATATTAAATTGCAATGTTTAATATTCCAACATTGCCGCAATGTTCTATACTATCTATATGAATGATCTTGATGAGTTATGAGAATCTTAAATTGCAAGACATCTCTTGAGAAAGAGAGAGAGAGAAAATATGTCTATCCTATTGAAAAAAATGATACATATAATAAACAATAATTATAATAATTACAATCAATATTTTTTTTCATAAGATATATAAAATACAACTTTAAAAACGTACGTCGTGTTACTGCGAGATTGAAGGAATCTTGCATTTTATTCGAGCTCAATATTTTATACGATCCATTGTAGAATATTTAACGCAACACATTTTCATAATGTATAAATCTAGTACATTAATACTAATTATAATAATAGGGATATTTTTTATAATAGAAATATTTTTTCTGTATGTAAAATTTATTAAATTTTTCCAATTCACAAATGTCCAATTTTAGATAGAATAAAGGTACGCGAAAGGATCTATTATCGTTCTCCTTTTTCCTTAACTTTCCGTGCCGGAAATATATTATACCGTCTCGAAATGAAATAATCATACGTATAAGCGTGCGATTTACGTCACTATATGCATTTTCATCACTAACAAAAACTATATAGTACTTATGTGTGCGATAAAACGTAAAAAAAGTTTGACACGAAACTGTTGCAATATAACTTGTTGGTATAGGTCATCTTTATATTTCTATATGCAAATTTAACTGAAAAAGTTTGCTATGTCACGTTCTTTTGTATCGTACAGCATATATCGTGTACTCTGCGCGCACGCAACTTATTAAAACGCGTTTTTATCAAATAAGACGCATACATTAATCATGAACGATAGTTGTGTAATACCTAATACAATGAGAAAGTGAAAAAAGTACAGCTGAAAAAAAATAAGACTCGTGCATACGCATATTTATGTATGCATGTATGTATATATATATATATATGTGTGTGTGTGTGTGTGTGTGTGTGTGTGTGTGTGTGTGTGTGTGTGTGTGTGTGTGTGTGTGTGTGTATGTATGGGCGTTTTTCAGCAAGCAATACGCAGAAATTACTTCATCCTTGTTTACATTCGGCAATCGACAAAGATGAAGCGATGCACTATGCCCTGTGCTTCATCGTTACTGAAAAACTATACGTATGTATGTCATCATGGACGCGTGTGCGCGAGTCGAGCGAACGCTTTCAATAACGTTCGCGATATTTGCCGGCCTTCGCAGCCACAGTCAGCAACGGTAGACGGTAGTCGGCGGTCGACAATCATCATCATCGAAGCGAGTAGTCGTTCGTCCGTATTCTGCTTTGCATGATCTCGCGGTGCCTCTCGATTATTCGTCAAATTTCGGCCGAGAGAAATCTCGGTTTCTCGGTTCGCAAAGTGTCGTACAGGCTAGGCCTTTCCCCCTCTCTCTTTCGGTCGCGTTGACGACGATCACCGAATAGAATCGGGTCGACGGGAGCACGAGACGAGCGTGTATCCGCTCGTGTCTTCTCACTTGTCGACGTTAACCAACAGGACGCGATGCGATCCGCTATTAGAAACTCGCGTCGAATCTAATCTCGCGACACGCGACGCGCGCCTCTCGCGATTTTGACCTTCGAGCCAGGCTAGCATATGCGTGCGCGAAGCGGAGAGGTGTGAGAGGTTTCTCCTAAATGCGCCGCCGATAATCGTGGCGTCTTATACGCGACGACTGCACGCATCGCGTTCCATTGTCATTGCATCGTGTTGTTGTCGCTGCTGTCGATCGCAGTGCCGACGATGCCCGCGCGACTCAGCAAGTTATCGATCGACGCGTCCTGCATGGATTACGTGCACCCATGGACAGACTCCTGCGTTAGCGCGACCACTGGTCTCGGTTTGCAAACTTTGCAAGAATCCCTCAAGATATACACCACTGTTTACATAGTACGTAAAAATCCATGTGTTTGTATAAAAGAAACCAATTATAAATTATTCGTTTCTCGTTTAATTGCTCGTTGAATATATGTGCATTATGTTTACACGCGTGTAAACTTGTATTTCGAGCATTGTTTTGTACAACGCGCATGTAACCGTCTCAAGTATATTCTTCTCGCATCACTTACGCGTGCACGCACAATTTTCCTCGTATATTCTTTCATTATTAACATATCCATCTCTGTTCCGCGAGATCGTTCCTTTAGATGGGTGCACCGACAAGATGGGAGAGTAGCGTCGAAAGCGCTCGCATTCGCCGTTGGTGTATGTGCACCGAGGCATGGGGTCAGTTTATAGCGCACAATATATGTACCCTACTATTGTACCGACGGCACAAGCTTCGCGTTTACACGCACGTGTATCCTATATTTGGCGCATTTGACCTACGGCCTACTCACATTTTACTTTAAGCGCGATTGTTTGTTAATTTACACGAATTTCTATCGTACGAAACAAAAAGACCACAATTGTCACACGTACTTTTAATTACTTTTACTAAATGATAGATCGAGTATGAGAGATATGGAACAACGGATAATTTTTCCTTATTTGTATCTTGACAAAGTATCGTACCAGTTATATATTAGATTTATCTTCTTTTTATTTTCCCGCGAGTCAATTTCGCCATTAATTTTTATAATGTTTTGCAAACTTTTTACTTTCCTTATGCTTGTGTGTAAATGCGTGAATAACATTATCGAAAAAAATGTAGACAAACAGATTATATTTTTTAAAAACGTCTGAATAAAATTCGAAAAAGGCAACATTTTTTGAAATGACTGCGTAGAAAGAGAGAGGGACAGATTTAAATTACGTTAATTTCAATCATTTTTACATTTTCACGCATATATACTTTAAATTAATTATTACGTCTCAATTATCATTATGTAATTAAATATATGTATCTTTCGTTTCATATATTATCCGTAAAAAATTTAAAAGATTTTATAATATTTCTATAGGTAAACGCGTGCGGGAAATTATATAACGTGTCAAAAAACCTTTGAAATAGCGTAACATGTAACTTTATATACATGTCATTTATTTGCATCAATTGACCATTTACATTACGCTGGGTATAAATATTTATTAATGTACTTCATTATGCGATTTGTATTTTTATCGAGTATCGTTTTTATGTAACGTATTCATCTTACAGCGTTATTGTGACATTATATACAAGTTTGTACAGTAAGATATATCAATGTGGAATGTAATGTAAATAAATGGCGCTTATTATGCGCGACTTATATTTCTGCTATTAAATTTTCATATATTGGTATCTATTATAAAGTTTATATTAACAAATTAATTTTAAGTACAAGGCCGTGTTACGACAAATTTTTTAAGCACATTGATTGGCTGCGAGCGAATAATTTTTTGAATCTTTAAAAACTTTCTGTCCCGCGGCCAGTCAATATGCTTAAAAAATTCATTGTACGACACCCAGGTAGCAAGATGACGTCTCCAGACATCTTAATGAATGATGTACAATGACTTTATTAAAACGTTCGTAATAACGTTGTCACTCTGCTACCTGGGCAAGCAAATGTAATATTAGCCTAATCCATTAGCTTGTTTTTTGAATGACGTTTTTATAAAAAAAAATTTGTATAAAAAACAAAATAACAGCATGTAAATTAGATTATGAATATTTATGAACGAACGATATCATTCTCTCTTTAATAATTTTTTCTTCTCTTTTTCTTTTGTAATTCTGACGGTATTTCTATTTCTATATCGTAGAGAGAATCTTTTTCACAATTCTTTATTGCATTCTGCAATAAAATATAAACAGAATTTTAATTTAAAATATCTATTAAATTTTTGCTCTCTTGCTGACTGCGACTCTATTTTTTATTCCAGATTGCATTTTTAATAAAGAGGAAAATACCATCGAAAAGGGACATTAAGAAAACTGTATTAGGTATTCTTCAATCTGCGGCATTTCTTTCATGGAGTGGCTTTTCTTATTCATTGTTTATTTGTTTGTTAAGGTGAGAAATAATAAATATACCTTCCACATTGTTTAATGAATTTTAAATGCCTGAAAAAGTTTAATTTGTGCAAAATGTCTCGTGCGTCTAGAAAATGTCTAGAGCAGGATACTTTGTAATCTTCTTTTATAAATTACAGCATACTTATCGATAATAATTAATTGATGTCTGAATAGATTAATATAATAATGATAACAATTGAGTATATTAAATTAAAAAATTAATACATCTAACTTACACATACATTTTACATATGGAAATATTGAAAAATGTGATGTGTATTATAATTGTTTCAGACGAATATTGGGACGCTTCTACTTCCCGACTGTATCTTTCCTTCCGTGCTTTTTATCTAGCTTATCTGCCATTGTGATAGAAAGATCTTCTAGACGTACATTATTGTGTCTCTATGTGTCAAACGTTGTAAGTAGGCATTGCGATAATCACACAAACAGCAAATACATATTCTCAATTATTTTTCCTCAGGCAACGGAAACGCTCTTTAGAATGGGCGTGTGGAGAGGATATTTTTCGCCTATTCCAAAAGGGGAAGTCTACATCTTCGCTGTAAGCGTAGCTGTGTTACTATATTTCTTCCGTTCAAAAATAAATAAACAGGATCAACTATATAAGATACTTAGGTATTGGGTTTTATATCTTATCCATTTGTATACATCTACATCATTTTTCTAAAATATACTTAATATATATATGTGTGTGTGTGTGTGTGTGTGTGTTTAAAAAACAGGATAATCGTTGGACGGTATGAAGAGATTGAATGTTTTAAAACAAATTTACAAGCATCCTCCAGAAATATCGAAATTGATGATGCAGACAACAGTAAAGATATACAAAGGAGCAGCTCTCAAAATTACAAATTTAGTATTTTACGAAAATCTTTCGAAGCATGCAAATGTATCATCGATACCTTAAAAGCGCAGAGTAAACATATCTCGTGTCCACATCCTTATAGCTGTGCTCATTATATTTTAGTGGTAAGACTAACGATATATATTTAATATAAATATTTTAAAAGTAAATATTCATCAAAATTTATTTTTGATATCTTTCTATTCAAAGGATAGCGCAAGAATCTTCAGTTATGGTGTTTGTGGCCAAGTAGCACTTAAACTAATTTTCCAATTTAAAAGATTACTTCAGAAGCCAAAGTTATTAAAAATGACCATTTTCCAAAGAGAAAATCTAAATCTGGCTATATTCCTTGGAGGATTTACTGGCCTTTATAGGGTATATGTTTTGTTTTGCATATTTATATACGAAACATGGGAAACCTTAATAAATTCTAATAAATTTGTGTAATTAATCTTGATAAATTCTAATAAATTTGTGTAATTATCTTTTATGTAATTATTTTCGCTTTTCTCTTCTCTTTGTATATAGCTAATATCATGCTTGTTGAGAAGAATCTTCCATAAAGATTCACACACTTATGCTATTCCTGCTGGACTTGTTGCAAGCATAACATTTATGGCATATCCTAATACCACAGTGGCCTTATATTTCATGTGGAAGGCATTACAGGTATTATTATTATTACTACTACTACTACTACTTTCATTATACACTATGTTTATCAGTATCAATTCATGATGAACAAATCACTTGTAACACCATTTGCTTTGCTTTAGTTATTGTGGAATGATGCAACAGAAAATGGCAAAGTACCGGAAGTAAAATGGTTCGTGATCTTTTTATATTGCTTTAGCACAGCCACTCTCTTTCATGCAGCTATAATAGAACCACAAAATTTGAGATCATCTTATTGGAAATTCCTTTACAAAGTGTCTGGTGGAAGGTAAGTTTTATGTAATTATAGTATACCATGAGAGAGAATTTGTATTCGTGCGTGTGTTTATGTGTGTATATATATACACACACTATATTATTCGAAAACTGTTCTGATCTGTCATGTTCATTTCGTATGTTGATTTTAGAATAGCGGCAATGTCCCGAATCGCCTTAAATGAGTTCGGTTTAGAAACCAGCAAGAATTTACAGGAAGTGCTTAGAAAAACAAAAACAACGGATCAAATTAATTTTTCTTTCTAAAGTGGCGAGCACAAATGTCAAAAATGGCTATATATATATATATATATATATATATCTTAATTTTTATTTTCCTTAAAAACGTAATTTTCAGAACCAAAGACAATAAATAGAGAAAGAATGGGAGGTAGAGATATCGTGGATATGCATTCTTTGAATTTATCGTTAATTATGCATGTATAAAAATCTAATTCTGTTATAAGCTGCGAAATATGAAGAAACATATTTCTCAACATAACAATTTAAAAACCAATATATTTTTTTATATCTAATTTAATGGTGCTTGGATGTTGTGATATTTAAAAAAAAACTTAATATTTGCGCGCGCGCGCACGCACACACACACACACAGAGAGAGAGAGAGAGAGAGAGAGAGAAAATAACCATGTAACTTAATGTATTTAAATGTATGTGGATAATATAAGTAATTATATAAGAGAAATGATATATTTATGTGAATGATTAGATATATTACACACACACACACACACACACATATATATATCATTATTTTATACATTTGTACATATATATATATATGTATATCATTATAACACACACACACATTACATATATATCAACACACACACACACACACACACACACATGTACACTGATAGTTAATGTGTTCGAATGTGTAGCGAGAGATTTTCTCCTACACTTCTGCAATATGTGTTATGAAACAATTATTGTATTTTAGTTTAATATAAATTTTATATTTATCATTTATATATTTATAATGTAAGCATGTTACACATACACACAGGGGTGGATTTATATTTTTTAAACAGTTTTATTATAAATACATTAATTTATTTGTTGAAAGCAATTTGTGATAAACGATAATATTTAATTATAAAATGTCTATGCTGTGTCTATTTTTTCGCGATTTCTAATGCTCTGTTCATTATAATGTCTGTGATATCCCTATTATGTTTTCTTTCCATCCTCCTCTTTTTTCGCAATACCTTTTCCCACTTGATACGACTTTGCATTTTTAAACTTTTTCGATTTATAATGCCAGCGATTATTTGCGAATCCAGGATTGAAACTGGATGTTTTGATGGATTTAATTCTTCAAGTGGTTCTAAACTTTTCAACGAATCCATTTGCCATGGCAGTAATCCGATAGGGCATTCGATCCATTGATGAGGCAAAAGAGTATCTAAAAATAAGATAAAAAATATTTAATATTATTGATCTTCAGAAATTAACTCGTAAAAAAACTGATTTGCATGTAAATCTACCAAAAGATGCAGGCTTCCAATGTAAATTGCGGATTATTTGATCGGTTAATAAGTAAGTATCTTTCGTTTTGGCCGCACATTGTTTCTTGTATATTTTTGCATCATTTCTTATTGAACTTGCATCAAAATCTTCAATGGTAAATATTTTCTGTTCACAGATATCGTTATTGCTGCGATTATCTTCATTATTATACTTTTGAAATGTATAAATTTTAAGTAAATTTAATAAATGTTTTGTTGTCTGCACTTCTATCTTCGGTGAAACAAACTTCAAAATTGGTTCTATTAATCTTGCAGAGAATTCATTTATATGTAATAAAAGTTTGGATAAAAAATTTATATCGGTTAGAAAATATGGTATAGTGCTCGATATATCTAACCACAAGACATTCCGCAAATATGGATGATTATGATGTACAAACTCTTTGAGATGCTGATTTAAAACTGACTTTGCGACTAGTTTTATGCCCTCTTTCGTCTGTTTATATTCCATAGTATGAGAAATATTTTGAGCCAAGTCTAGTTGAATAAAACTGTAGATGATAGAGCTTATCCATAAGGTGGCAAGAGTTCTTCTTTCCTTGCTTTCTTGTTCTTGGTTTATAATACTGAGCAGCTTAGATATCAGTATATCTAATATCTTCTTGTTATGGAGCAAAAAAATTATATCTTTCCAAAATCGAAGCATATCAGGTGGCAAAATTTTTTTATTCAAGTCAATATTCTTTTTTCCTTTTTGTTGAAATATTTGCATAACATCTATATTTGGTAGAAAGGCTTCATTTTTTAGCAAAACATTGCAAATTATATCACTTTTCTTAGGTATCGTGATTAAGGATTTGCTTTCGGTCAAATGCATAGATATCTCAGATAAAAGTAAAGCTTTTGCATCTTTCAAGTTATATTCCTTATTAATCTTTAGAGTTTTTCCATGAATGAATATATATTTGTCATCATTGTCTGCAGTTTTACCATAATATTGAGATAACATGTATATCCATAAATCTTGTAATACTTCCCTAATTTAATATGAAAAATAAATTCTCAAGGATAAAATTTTATCCATAACATACATAATTGAACTCGCGCATCGTAGAATTATCATTAGGAAGGAAAAAAATGGAAATTGACAATAAATTAATTTATAACAAAATATACATACCGTAGTTGTACCTCTGGTAAATTTGATACTAATTTATACCCAGCATCGATATATAAACTAACAGCTGTCCACAGTTCGATTAAATCCGTAAAGGCTTGTATCTCTTCGAGTTCTTCTTTTTCTTCTAACATATTAGCTTCCTTCATATAGCATTTTTCTATCATACGTGCCTCGGCCGCCCAATATTCATCCTTTGGAATATTTCAAATACACACATTACTCTATGTAACAAACATTATATTCAAAACATAGCATATAGATAAACATACATGTAACCAGTGGAGCAATATATTAATAGCTATTCTTAATACTCCGATAGAAGGTAATTCACAACCATGAGCAGCTTGATGCCTTAAACTAACTATCCACTCTGGAATTCTGAGATGTTTGGCAATCTGAAATAGGGATGTCTGTTTCGTGTGTCCTATATTGCAAAAATGATTCAAGAATCTCATGATGGTGGTCGAATAAATTAAACTTAAATCATTCTCGCAGTACATTGGTAGCTCGCCATTGTCAATTTTTGATGTCCATTCACGATCACGAAGGCACACTTGCAAAATCGATAAGGTGCAGTCTACACCTACCGGTAGTTTTGGCATCCTGAAAAAAATTCCTTTCAATATTATTTATATAGAGTCTTATCGATAAATTAAATAAATTGTAGTCGCTCGTTTTTCTACCTGGCTTTCCACGCTAAAAGCGCTTCGTATGCTTTCATTTGCTCGATCGCATCGTTGGAGTAAATTTGTCTGTACACATTGTGCCATTCTGTTCTTGTGATATTAACAAATCAGAATCATTATATTTAATGTCGGTTATTTCTCTCGCGTTTTATTAGGGCTCGCTTGAATTATTATAATACTTACAAGGAAAACCATGGTACTTGCTTAATATCATCGCGCTTCGCAGATAATGCCATCCTTGCTTTATATATCAATGTCCCTTACGTTTCCTCTTCCTCTTTCAAATGACTGCTTAAGCCGGATCTAGCCGATTGGTCGGGAGCGTCCCGTTTGACCACGTTGCGATTGACCACAGCCAATTATATCGACCTGTGCCTAGGGTAACCAGCAACGATTAACCAATCAGAGAGTCCTATTTTGAATTGGCCAATTGGCGACGTGGTCAATCGGGTGCCACCCGATTGGTCGTATCGTAACGTCACAAGTCGTAAGTCGTAGGCAAATTGACCAATCATGATTGATTATTCTTGATTATTCTTGAAATAATCGACTATGGTTGGTCAATTATTATGGTTCTTGAAGCGAGGTAAAAATTACAAAAGTAAACAGATTTACTAGATTTCGACCAATGAAATTGTAGATACTTTAGTAAATTTCCTCACTTTTGTTAATGGGTGTGTTTTGGGGTCGCACCGCTACAGTAGCGCTACAGCCTTTTTCTTCTACAATTGTAGCAGAAAAAAATGGCGACCACTATAATTGTAGCAGAAAGTTCTGAAACGTACTTTTATAGCGCTATCCAGACAGCACAAATAAAGTCACTAGATTAACAAAGTACCGCAATTTTGATCTCAATAAGATAAGTTGGAGCAAAAATGGCGTCCGATAATATAGATATAGGCTGCGATTGTTGCATTTCTCCATGCAACAACCTGGCATTTTTGATATTTTCTTCTTTTTCTGCGCAACAGAAGGAGTTTCCTCACCTCACACACAACAGAACACAAGACAGACCAGGATCAAGGTTAGAAAAATTGCACTTAGTATAGATAGCTACACAAAGTGTGCACTATCTGCACTATCGGACGCCATTTTTGCTCCAGCTTATCTTAAGGTGCAATTTCATTGACGCTACTTTTTAGCGTCAATGAAAAGGCCGCTTTATTGAGATCAAAATTGCGGTACTTTATTAATCTAGTGACTTTAAGCACAAAAAGGCCAAAAGATGTCTTAAAGATGTCTAGAGGACTTTAAGTCGTCTTTTAGATGTTTCTTGGACATGTGTGCTCTCTGGGTACTATAGCGCTTTAATAACGTAAAACACGCTTATGTAGCGCTACTGTAGCGATGCGACCCCGAAACACACCCATTTTCACTTCGTTTCAAAAACCGTTTCAACCGGTTGAAATCCTAGTTACTTCTGCTTACGGCCAACTTTATCATCATTTCTATCGTCTTCTAGTAGGATACATAAAGCTAAAGCAATATTCTGATTGGTTCTTCAGCTTACGTTTACGTTTTACATTTATGATTATGGCAATTCATGTGCGAAAGCCTTTACGTTTCCTTACGTTTTAATATGGCTGCCTTACTGCTCAATCACGATTGGTCAATTTGCTTACTAACTACGTTTAACTGCTTACGCTTTTTTGTGTGCCATGGCCTTAAGCTATTCAGTTCCCACTCCAGTTTATATATGTATAGTTTAGTGCACGTGACTCTCTCTCTTTCTAAATAATCATAAATTTGTATCTTTTTTTTGTAATTACGTGATATCTTTTGATGCTGAAAATGAGTATCGAGTGTCAACAACGGCAAAAAGCGTCTAATAAATCAATGAGGATGAGAAAAAATTTGCGCTTCAAAAATAACGTCAAGAGGAACGCATCTTTGATCGATCAATCACGCTTCTTTATCCAACAAATGGCTGTGTTTCAGCAGAGAAAACCTTTCAATAGCAACCGTGATTGGTTCTTACTTTCAGATCCAGCAAATTAAGGTCAAATATTACAAGAATATGGGTACTCTCCGATTCAAATGTATAATATGCGTGACATGAGCTATACATTTTCTGTCACTTTATGTGCATCATGCGTGAATCGGAAAGTATCCTATGACACAATAGTTTTCTCCGTTAAACACAGCGAACGAAATTTCCGAAAGTGGAATTTTGTACTCTGAATCGAGTCGGATCGAGTCGAATCGAGTCGAATCGAAATGAGCCGACACGAGTCGAGACGAGCCGAGCCGAGCCGAGCCGAGCCGAGCCGAGCCGAGCCGAGACGAGCCGAAACGAGTCGAGACGAGTCGAGTCGAGTCGAGTCGAGACGAGACAAATCGAATCGTGCCGAACAGAGTCGAACCAATTCAACTGTAATTACGACATTACGACTACTGATAACTAGAGAAGGTGAGGGACACGTTAAACATGGCGGAGGCCGTTGTGGACGGGAATCCAATGTCCCGATTTTTCTGCCACAAATGCAGCGTTGAAATTGAGCGTTTGTTGCCAGTAAGTATTTTGCAGTGCTTTTTCCAATGATTATCTACTTGTCGTCTTGTTTTGGCACGTGCAACTCCGCAAATGTATTGTAAAATGGATGGTCATTCCGAGAAACTGTCATTACGATGTCATGTGCGGAAAGTCTCTCCCACCCTATGTTCCTATGAAAAACAATACTCTGATCTATTTCTCGATCTTTTACGTCAAACGACAAATCAATACTATCGCGTGCTAATTGCGAAAACATTCCTTTCTCTTTTATAATTTTTTTATAATGGTATATAAAATTTTAAAACGAATCGTATTCGCGATAATAGTCTTATGAACGATTCTTTTCTAGATCTACAATTCGTATTCATTCTTACGATCGTTACTCACCACTAATCAACACTTGGCTTGATTTCGGTGAAATAATGTACTTTGATCTTTAAACTATTCTAGGCATGCGTATATTTTTTTGAAATTTGATTCTCAGTTTTGGCCAAACGTATTTGTATGAATTGATTAATTCTATATATATAGAATTATTAAGACGCAAAGATATTATATATCGATTAAATAAAAAATGTATGCAACGTTTGTATTATCTTAATGTACTAAATATAAGATTAGGTATATGCATATTTTTTTTGTGCGCATGTATATACATATGTATGTGTATGTATCATTTTTGTCATATTTTTTTATATTTAAAACAAGATATATATTATCTCTTTTTATAGCTTTAGAGGAAGAGAGATAGTTTACAAAGCCCATTTTATTTCTCTCTTTTACAATGTTTTTTTAAAACAACAAAGTGGGATATAGGGTCAAAAGCTTTGCATCATTTATAGAATGAAAAGTCATTACTTTAATGAACAAAAACATGTATAAATATTATTTATTTTATTATTATTATTTTTATCTTACTAACATAAAATGATAACAAATAATAACAAAAATATTAAATTTTTAATTGTTCAAAACAGTTTGCTTTCAATACTGCCATATATATTCTTGGTATTTTTGACAATTTTTTTAAATGTTATTATTGACTGTTGTTACTTGTTTAATTCCAGCATGTTTACAAATACTCTTACAGTTATTTCTGATTAACAGATCACAAGTTTTATCATGTTTATCCCACAATAATTTTACAGATTTTATAGATCTAGCGATTGAAAGCCTGGGAAGCTATTTTAAAGAATCAAAATTTTAATATTTCTGTCATTGTTTGTTAAATTTTTTAATCTTTAAGCATAAAATAATAGTAACAAAATATACATTGGTCATGTTTCTATATGTTTTTGCCCATTATATATAAATATAATAATTTCTCTTTTCGTATTCGTCCAGTGCTGCGATACTTTTGACCGATGCTATAGTTATTTCACATTTTTATTACTAATATTATTATTGTGCGACAACATAATATAACTCAAAAAGCATTTGTTTTATATATTATTATTTTTATTTTTAATTAGAATTACACATGTCCACGATGCGCGTGTGGTTTTATCGAAGAATTGGAAAGTAGCAACAATGAAGGTAATTCAGGCATAGACATGAATAGCGAAGATCTGAGCGATGTAGATGTCGATATCTTAGGATATAATGTGAGTAATCTAATTTAGTTAAAAATTATTAATATGTAACAATTAAAAAATATATAATTGTTATTAATACTATTTATGTGGCACAGTCTTCAGGGCGTACTGAACGTGACCGTGACATAATAGAAATGATAATGGGACTTTCAAATACATATACCAATCAACAATCAAGTACCAATCAACAATCAGGTGCAGGCAACAGAAATTATGGAAGTAGAAGAAGATCTAATTGGATTCGTGTTACTCCACCTATTCAAGATGGGCGTCGTACCAACAGGTATATCATGTCTTTTCTCATGCCTTTGGACACTATTGATATAGTAATGTACAATTTTAAATTTTCATCAAAAACAATAAGTAATTAATTTTTTACACTATTAAATGTTAATAAATTTGATGAATACAGCACTTTTCTTCCCTTTTTTATATGGAATGTATATTAACTATTCAAATTTTTGAATAGTTTTTTAATAGCATGGAAGATTTTACAAAATTCCTTTTATACATATCCCAGAATAAAATTTTACATTAAATTTTAATTCTTTTTATTATTATTTTTTCTCTTTCCAAAAACACTACTTGTACATGGTACTAACTGGAAATAAAATATTTTAAAAATAAAAATATATGATATTTATTTTAACTCGGCAACAATACACACACACACACACACCCAGCTGTTATATTTGTATAATAAATTATTAAGATATAATAATTTTGATTTTCTTTTTCTTGTTTTTTCTTTTTTTTATTAGTAGCAATCGTAGAAGACAAGAAAGCTTGCCAGTACCTATAGAGAATTTCATACAAGATTTTATCTTCAATCTTTCGGGGGCACCAAATTTAGGCAATTCTGTGGGACAAGATGCGCAGCCATCTGTGTAAGCAATTTTATATGACAGCTATTACTTTAATTAAGTATATAATTACATAGCATATAGATATCATATTTTACGAGCAGAAAATAACAAATAGATTAATGTTCTTACATCATACTGATTTATATGTTCTCCCAAGATATATACTTAATCAAATAATTATATCATTTTGATAATAATTTTTGGATATGTTATATTAAGTGTAAATTATAAAATATTTCATATTTTCACATTAGCTATCAAATTTTCTTTCGAAAGGTTTATATTTCCGTAACGTTTTAATCTTCTTGTTCCTATATATTATATGTATGCTTATTTTTCAAAATCTATATGTACAAATTGTTATTATTGTAATAAATTATTTTTAAATGGTACAATACAACAAGTATAGTTCAACAAGAGTAAATGTTCAAAAAGTTCATTTATCCATAGGAGTACAAGTCATTAACAATCTTATTTAATTTTTAGTATTACTAAAATAAAACAAAATAATGTAGATTCGATATTAGACTGTTCTTGGGAAATCCTGGAGATTATGTCTGGGGTCGCGATGGATTAGATGCTATTGTTACCCAATTATTGAATCAAATGGATGGTACTGGACCTCCACCTTTACCACACAAGCAGATTGATGAAATACCTACGACAGCTATATCGCAAAGTCAAGTTGGTTAGTATATATAACAATATACATTGATATCTAGTTTGCAATTATGTATGCATACACACACACACACACACACACACACACACACACACACACAAAGTGTTTGATTGGACGAATGTTTGTAAACGGGCACAGAAAGCTGAATGGAAAAATCCTTTACCATTTTGCAATTTTTACAAATAATTATTGAAACATTTATTAAAAAGGATTGGCAAATTAGCACTCTTTTCAAACGCCTAGATTGTGGAATGTGTTCTCTAGATATGTCAATGGCAAGTGTTACATGGCAATGAAAAATTTGGCCGTGTGTTCTCCGGCTCTTGTATTTTTGTTGCCGCACGACATTTACTGTTGACACGCCTAAAGCATATATGATTTAGCTATGCAAAACAGGCGCTCATTTGCCAATTCTTTTTAATTAATATTTCAATAATTATTGTAAAAATTGCAAAATGATAAAAGACCTTTTGCACTTTTTTTTTTACTAGTCTTTACCCGCTCACGAGCGTTAGTCCCATCTTTATCAAACACTCTGTATACACATGCACACACACACACACACACACACACACACACACACACACACACACACACACACACACACACACACACACACACACACACATATATATATATATATTTCAATTTTTTTGCTTTTAGGTCTTTATCAATCTGAAAAATACAATGTTAATATATGCAATATTCTAAGATTAAATAACAATTCGAATGGTTGATGAGGACCTAAATAAAAAAATCTTTCCTAAGAGCTATATTAACCTTTTGAATTTTTATATAAAAATATAATTTTTTAATAATAGTAAATTTGTTTTGCCTATACATATATCAATTATTTTTTTTTAAATTTCTTTGTTATTGAGCAATCTTTCTTCTTTTATTCTTTGTGCAGACTGTAAACTACAATGTTCCGTTTGTTGGGAAGATTTCAAGTTATCGGAACCTGTTAGACAGCTGCCTTGTCAGCATGTTTATCATGCACCGTGTATTATACCCTGGTTGGAATTAGTAAGATTCCTAATGTTATTAATATTACGCGCACATACACACACTATATGTTGTGTATGCTAATATTTAAATATAAACCTTGATAATTTCTCTTTCTTCTTTTCATTTTCTAGCATGGAACTTGTCCCATTTGCAGACAAAGTTTGGGAGATCAGAACTCGGTTGAGGTAAACCAAGATACTGGCTCAAACTTGACCGGATCTGCTTTAGCTGGATCCAGTTTTGCCGCTTTATTCAGGTAACTTCTTCGATAAGATATTTACAAATTTGTACTTTCTATAGAATTGATGTAATCAATCCTCATTGTTGAGATTTGATGAGTGTTTTTTTTTCTTTTAAGCCAGATATTATTCTAGACGAAAGTAATATATTTTGAATATTGATATTGGATATCAATATTCTTGATAAAAAACTATTGATCCATATTTAATGCAAGTCATCATTTTTTTTTCATTTACAGTAAAATCTTGACAAGTTTGTCTTGGATAATTTTTCTACTTATCCACATATTGTTATCAACATTAATATTATGTCTCTTTTATATTATAATGGATAGATCACGAGACAATTTAGGATCAGCTACATTTGATATGCTCAAGATACAGAGACATGTAGGAATACCCCGTAATTATTCTATTCCACGAGTTTTTCTCTCCTTTTTTTCCCATATTAGAAAAATCGGAGCTCTACTGCAATTCAAATTTATTAATTAAATTATTTATTTACTAAATATGATTAATTATTTATTTATTAAATATTATTTATTATTTATTTATTAAATATTTAGCTTTTCAAAATAGAAATATAGTACAATTTATCTTAGAAAAATTTTTAATGATTCGTGTATGTGTATGTATGTATATTTCAAATAAGTTATAATATAATTATATACATGTACATACATAATACACACACACACACACACACATATATGTATATGTAAACATAAAAAAATAAGATGTTTCTGGAAAAACATGGATAACTTTAGGGATTTCTTTTATATCTGGAGAAATCAAAGAATTCTCATGGAATTTTATTCAAATTCGGAAAATCTTTTAAAATTTCTTTTTGATGTTTTTTTATTGTAATTGACAATTCACCAATTAGTCAAGTTATAAATTATGTGTATTAAATAATTATGTATAAAATATATTTTAGAAATATATATATATATATATATATATATATATATTTGTGTGTGTGTGTGTATATGTATATGTATATGTATATATATACCATATATATATATATATATATATATATATATATATATATGTTTTATATAATGTCTAATAATTCAATGTTTTAATAAAATATTGAATGTATGGTACATTTATATTTTTTTTATTACCACTTTTTTACCACTTTTAGTGGTAAAAAAATGAAAAACATTATGCAAGTGAAAAATGTTTCTCTTATAAAAGTTATTCATCTTTTTTCACTTGCGAATTTAGCACTTAAAACTAAAATGTTTTTGCTTTGAGTGAAAAGCATCAGAAAAATGCATACAATAAAAAAATTTATTTTACTAAGTTGCAAAAAATCTTTAAATTCGTTTTTCCTGGAATTTTGAATAAAAATATCCCTGAAGATCAGGGGATTTTTTTTATAAGATTTGATACCCTGAAAGAAATAGAAATCTGCATCAATAAATGTTAATTCTTCTAAGAAAACTGTACTGTTACACATACACATACATCTTTGTTAATATTTTTAGGGCAGCAAATGAAGCAAGCCGAACAGGGCAACCAATTAGCCGGACATCATCATCTTCATCATCTACTTCGTCAGAGTAGAGAGTTCTGAATTCTTGTTCAAGTGAGATTTGAGAGCAATTTTTTCTTTCTATTACCCTATTTTATCATTTAACTATTTCCGTATCATTTCCACATACTCTAACATTTTTCTTGACTTTTGAAGAAGGTATATGTCATTTTATAAATATCTTTTAACATATTACTAATTTTAAATCATTATCACAACTTAATTGAGATTTTGTTTCATTATAAAATGCTTAACAATTTAAAGAACTATTTCACATTCTACAAATTGTATAACAAATAGACATCAGAGCTAAAATAGCAAATTACAGATCGAATTAATACCTTTATTATATTTTAGCCTATTGCATTAAAATTAAATTGGCTATTACAGTATCTTACTATCTTCAATTTCATGATTTGTATGTGTTTCAATATTTGTAAATAACTTAATTAAATAACTTTTGTGCCAGACATTGACGAATTGTATGTGCTATTATGTCTCAGGTAAAAGGAAAAAGGGAACTTACACTTTATAATCTAATTCCGATAAAATACTGGAGGAGCAACTTAGGTGATTTTATTTATTAAACATTGCTTATGCATGGGCAGTTTCATTTTGCGTAGCATCGATTCAAACAAACTCAAACAAATCTACACAGAAGATATGTATGTTATATGTGTGATATCTATATATAAAAATATAATTTTTACATCGCTACGCGCGTGAGGCTCAGTAAAATCGATAATCTATGACTTGTACAAATAAATTAAAAAAATTTTCAATTTAGAAACAAGCTAATAAATTTAAATGATAAATGCAGGGCGATATATACTGATATCGTGAATTTTTTAAACAAAAAAGTGCTTATATATTATGTTAGAGAGAGTAGAAATACTGCTCCCTCTTTGTAGAAGTATATACACTTATGTAAAATATTTACACTAAAATATCACACAAATCAATAAAACAGAATGTTCTAAAAAGCTGCTGGAATTAATACAAAACGGAATTATATATTATTTTTGTTCTATTTCTTTACTCTGTACATACTCTAAAAAATTGTGAAAAATATAAAAAGAAAATAGTATATTGACAATCATAATAATTACCTTCTTCATTTTTAAGTTTGATTGTCATAACACACACACATACACACACACACACACACACACACACACACACACACACATACATACATACATATATACATATACATATATATATATATATATATATATATATATATATATATATGGGGGTGGGTGGGGGGAGGGTATGTATGTATGTATGTATGTATGTATGTATGTTGTGTACACACACATATAACCTGATAGTTTCTATCTGAATCATAATGAATAAAGATGTAAATGTATAACAAATAGATTCAGTTTTCTTAATAAATAAAACCGCTTGATACACAATTTTTCTCCTAAAATTAATTTTTACAATACATATGATACGGCGTAAATAAAATGCAGCAAAAATACACAATAGTTACATATTTCTACATTACAAATAGAAAGAATATATGTTTTCTCTCTGTGTCTCTCTCTTTCTCGTAAAGAGAAACTCACATTTATAGCGTAGTTTGCAGCGATTGATAAAATTACATATTGTATAAACAGATAAGAGATAGGATATAGCGTTAGATATTGTATCTAAATATTTTTTGGCCGACGCGTTATCGCATATATATTCGAAACGGAGCGTCTTCACAATTATCTATATATAAGCAACATAAGCATCCTACATGCATCTTTATAACAGAAAAATATTACGCTATGCTAATGTGAATGTTTATTTAAATTTGACGCTGTGCATAGCATTATCCCTTTTCCTGTTCTAAATATAAAAATTGTTTATTTTGAAAAGATTTATTTAAATAAATAAAAATTGAATATTGCAAGGCTATCATCGTTATAGTTTCTCTTTTAATAAGCCCAGAGCAAGAATGCCAATATACATAGAAAACGATTATAATTTATCCATACGTAATTATGGGTTTGTTTTAAGAAAGGGAAAAAAAGATTCATTCTTGCAAAATTAGATAAGATTCGCACACGCACGAAATTCTGCATATAAATGCAATAAAAATCCGAAATGATTGAAAATTATTCAAAGATTAAATATACTTTTACGAAGAGTAAATGATAGAAAATTTATTAATTGCAAAAACTTACGAGTTCAGGATAAATCTTTTAGAAATCATTTTATTTCACAATGTATAATGGAAAATGTGTCGATCGAAAATCGAAATATTTATTGCATTGTCACATTGTATCTGAAAATAATAGTCGACTCAATCATAAAATAAATTATACATATGATTGTAATTAATGAAAGAATACTACTATTCTAATAATAGCGATATTCAAAGTTATGACATGACACAATATTGAGTTATTTTTATGGAGAAACGTACTTTTTATTTCAACATTAGCGTATTCTCTTTATGTTTTCCAATTTTTCAATGTTTGTCAACAACAAACAGCGATATATGTTTATAATATAAAAAATGGAATATTTTTCTTGTTCATTATATACGTATGAGAAAAAGATATAGAATTTAACAATGTTTATACATGCTTTCTAGCTAAATATGTATAAATTTATTAGATTTAGAATATTATGGGATATATTTACTCGTCAATAAAGAAAGAAATCTCTAATAAAATGTGATGTACAATGTTATTTTTCTTGCACAACATATATCAGGGAACAATAAATGGGATACACATACATACACTCCCCCCTCCACATCTACACACACACACACACACACACACGTACATATATGTGTATGTGTGTGGAAATAATTGTACATGTTCCTATTTTTGGATTTTATGATACTACAGTTAGCTTATTTTCGCAGCAAAGATAAATACAAGTGAAGAAGAATTAAATGTGATAGTGCAAATTATCCATTTGGAGTAATTCTGAGAAAATGTGGACAAATGATGGCCATATTTGAAAAACTATTAGAAATCGAGCTCATAACTACAGACGAACATTTTCTTGGACTTTATTTATTTTGCATTGGTAATAGGTTTGATATGAAAAGATATTAATAAAATTATCATCTGATTCGAACATGACATAATTTTCCCATTTTTAATCTCGTATGTCTTATCAGCAACTAGTCGGTATCTTGATATCATGTATTCTATTAAATTTTAACTGACTGTGTTGTTTATTTATTTGCATTATACTATTGCAAGACAGATAACTTTATTTTAAACAATTACATTATCTATGATCTATATATACAAATATCGAATTTGGATAAAAATTTTTTAAATAAAATTTGTAGTTGTATTAATTTGCGAGATATTATGAAGCGGCTGCCTGGTTTAAAGTAATTCCATAAATTAAAGAAGGAAAAAGCTAAATACTTGCATTTTTTATAATATCAAAAGATGTTTACAAATGTAAAATCGTCGTGCAAAATTATATACATTGATTTACATTGTATATACATACATACATACATATTTACATATACACACGAGATAGCAATAAAAAAATAAATTGTATGTATGTTACGAATTAGTATTATATCTATAATTCCTATATTGTATCATATTATTCTTATATAGAGCAAATAGTTCCGGACCATGATATTTGTGTCTGCAACCATAATATAATATTAATTTCAATATTATTTATATAATGCACTTTTGTACGTATGTGCATGCACATAACAATGTTAATTTAATTTTGTTCTAAAATTTTCAAACATCAGAATCTGCTTGATATTATTGACGACCTTTAGCTTTCTCTAATGAGTATGATTTTCTCTTTCTTTCGTAATGAATCTTGAATAAGACAGAGATTGTGGAATCATCAGAGAGTGTGTATCGTCATTATTATTATTAACAACAGCAGATTGTGATTTGTATTATATCATAAATAATATCGAATTATCTCGCATAATATGATGGAATTTTTATTCATTTGTTATGTGATTCGTTGATTCGTTTTTCATATTTTCCATTTGTTCCGAGATAACAATTTCAGACTGTTCCGTCTCTTTGTGCACTATAATAATTTTCTGCTCGGTGGAAGATTGACTGTCGGAGGATCCTTCCTGTGTCGAAGTAGCAGCTTCCTAAGGTTTGATATTTGTTATATTGCATTTATTTGATGAAACGTTATATGTGAAGCGCATATATATTTCGTACGAATTGTACTTACCGTACTCCGTATCTTCGTGTGTGTTTTAATGTGTTTCGTTAAATGATCCGATCGCATAAATTTCTTAGTACATTCTGGACATTGAAAGCGTTTTTCGCCAGTGTGAGTTCTACGATGCCTTTGAAGTTCGTCGGATCTGGTAAATTTTTTACCGCAAAATATCCAACTGCAGACGAATGGTCGTTCGCCGGTGTGCCAACGTAAATGAGCACGCAAGTGACTCGTTTTACCGTATACTTTATTGCAGCCGGCAATGTGACATATATGTTGGCGCTTTCTGCTCATATCTCTATTTCTACAAGGAAATGTGGATTAGTTGAAATATTTTGTATATATAACGTATGAATGTGCAATATTGTATTAATAGTATTACAAATAAACCTTTGTAAATTTGATATTTGGGGCTTTCGCTGGTTAGGTGTACACGAGTATTAGGATTGACTTTTCAGTTTGAACCGTAAAATTTCCGTGTAAATTCTTTTTATCTGATCTCTCGACATTTCGTGAACATTTCAGTTTACTTTATCAGGGAGGAACAACCCGAGTTATTCCTTGATACATTTAGGTTGTTTGTTCTTCCCTGATGAAATAAATTGGAGTGCAATTCGCAAAATGAAATAAAAAAAATTACGCGGCTCAAATCCAAAAACCAATATTTATAATAAATATTCGATAGAAAGAGCACATTTAGCAGCTTTATATAAAAGTTACCTGTCTCCATCGCCGCAATTAGGACACGTACATGCAACTCTCCTGCGGTGCTGCTTATTAGTATCTGTGTCAGTATTGGAATTTGCCGCGTTGGATACCTGATGTTGGTGAGATATAGGAGTAGCGGATGTTGTCAAAGTTCCATTCGATTGAAGAGTTTGGAGAATTTGCCATTTGGTAGGATCGCTTGAATCAAGTTGTACGGTCGGTGCAGCCGCAACGATAGGTGTAGCCGCAGTAGCGGGTAATGTTTGGACCGTAGCGGTTGGTACAGGTTGCAATGCGCTTGCCGGTATTACTTGTACATTGCCTAAACCTGGGATATTTTGTACAGGTATCGATTGTAAAAAACCGTTGGTTGCGTTTATTCCAGTGGCCGGCTGAATTTGCATTATGCTTCCGTTGCTTACGCTTCTCATCATGTTACCCTGTTGCGCAGTTAAATTTGCCAATGCAGATGCAGGAATAAGTGTTAATTGTTGTCCTTGCGCTCCTATACATACAGAGGTTGGAAGGAAAATAAATTTTGGAAATAAAAATAAAATGTACATTATCGAAAATATCTCTTGAGAGGGAGAATGATATTTATTTATATATTCTACTAGTAATCTAAATGCACTCATGTACTATATTGATGCGTTTACCTGTAATCGTAATAGGTTGCACTGTAGGTTGGGCCGATTGTGCAGCAGGGATATGTATTACTTGTCCACCGGCAAGTTGACTTGCATCGATATTTGTTACTTTAATGTCACCGTCTACTGTTTCTGGCGGCCTTGTTAAAGTAGATAATGTTTGCACATCAATCTTCTGACCATCTTTTGTGGTAATAACATTGGTATTTCCTGTTATACTTCTTCCCAATGCACTTATGCCGAGTACCTATAAAAAAAAAACTATGTATTACATTATATCAATTATGTACATTTGTATGTGTACGTGCGTGAGCGCGTGCGACCCAATACGCATATAGTATTTCATAATACACAATTTATTAAAAGTATATTACCTGAACGTTACTAGGACTCGCAACTGTTGTGCTCCAAGTTGCTACTGTTGACGATGGAGCAGAAGATTGTTGCATCTGTTGTTGTTGTTGTTGTTGTGATTGTTGTTGTTGTTGCGATGGTGGTGGTTGCTGTTGTATCACCTGTTGCACTACTTGTTGTACTTGTTGCTGTTGCACCTGCTGCTGCTGCTGCTGTTGCACTTGAGCTTGGGCAACTTGTTGTTGCTGTTGAACAGATTGTACTACTTGTTGTTGAGTTTGTTGTTGGACGACTTGCTGTTGCGCTTGTTGATGCGCAACTTGCTGAGCTACTTGTGTTACTTGTTGACTCTATAATAGCACATTAAAAGCGTGTGCATTCATATAAATATTTAGTAGAATTAGAGAGAACATTTCTATATCCATTAATAAATTCATAATTTATACATCTTCAGTTATATTACATTTTTACCTGAAGACTTTGTAACTGCGGCAAGTTTGTAATTTGCACTTGCTGGATCTGACCACTTGGTGTAATTATCTGCGCTACTTGAGGTATTTGCTAGAATTGAAGTAACCGGATTATATATATTTCGTCGATATTATAATTTACGCACAATAGTTTAATATAAAAATTGTAAATTAAATTTAGGCAATTATTAATTGCAATATCAATTAATGTTGTATTGAGTGACTTACTTGCATAATTTGGGGTATCATTTGTGTCGCGGGCATATTTAAAACGTTGGACAAAGCTTGAACGGGAAAGTGTATAGTTTGATAAACAGTTTGTCCATTGGTGGCAGTGACCGGTACTTGCACAGGGACTGTTTGCTGAACATGCTGCATAGGAAATTGAAGTGGTCTCACTTGTACATTTTGACCTGCAACAAAATGACCAACTTACTCGATTATTCTCAAGCATATCTGAGAAAAGTTGGAAGATTTGAATCTCGAAAGTACGCATCGACGACTAAAAGCGATGCCAATAAGAGAGACTTACCTGTCGGCAATTGTACCGTTTGTCCTGTGATATTTTGTATAATCGAAGTGGGAAAGACATTAGGTGCTCTTATGAGACTAACTGGTTGTGGCGTGATAATAGTCTGGCCATTCGCTAGTTGCACTTGTTGACCGGCAAGTTGCATTTGTTGGCCATTTGCAGTAGCAAATTGCATTGTTGGCTGTGTTTGGTGATGACCGCCTGCTGCGGACATTGCAGAGGATGGAATAAATAGAGCTTCCTGACCGTCTATATTGACGGTCTGCATTTGTGGGATTACACTATAACTGAGCTGTTGTTGTTGCGGCTGTTGCTGTTGTTGTTGGGTATGTTGCTGTTGCTGCTGCGATTGTTGCTGACTTTGTTGTTGTTGTTGAAGAGCTGTTTGTGCCTGAGCGCTAATAATTTGGGCACCCTGCGAAATATGATGATTGATTTCACAAGTTGAAGCACAATAAAAAAGAAATTTACGTAATGAGCGCATGTAAACTATATTTCCCGCGGAAAATGAAATTATATTACTTTTCATTTTACAAACTTGCAAGAATTGATGAGGTAGCGATTGAACAGAGATTGCTTGCGCTCTCTGTTGATCGTGTTGCGATTGTTGAGCTTGTAAAGGCACAAAGTTCTGCAGGGTAATAACATGCGGCTGCTGCTGCTGTTGAGCTTGTTGTTGAACATCTTGCTGTTGCAATTGTTGTAATACATTTGCATTTAAGAAACGGATTTGTGATTGAGCAGTTTGCTGCTGTTGTTGCTGCTCCAACTGTTGTTGATCCGCATCATCTTGTTGCTGCGACTGTGTTTGCAAAGGATCATGCTCTTCGATTTCTTCCTATAAATAATTATTTAATTTCTTTTTGCGAATATTCCACACACATGTATAAATATAATAAAGATACATTGTACTCACATGATCAATGCTAATTGTTATTGCGTGTGTGTGTCTATATATATATATATATATATATATATATATATATATATATATATATTGTAACAATTAGCATAACAATTACAATAACAATTTATATTATAACAATTACACACACACACACAATATATCGAATATTTGAATAAGTTTAACTGATATTAAAAATTGTTGCAAACGTAAAGCACTTGAGCTAAAAATGAAACTTGACGAGTATCTTACTTGTGAAATGTTTCTTCCATCTAGACTTCGTTTCATGATGAACAATTGTATGTTTTGCGCTGTATAAGATTTACAAGAATGGATTTGATGCCATTTCGTCAAATTGTGCTAGGAATCCATAATGCAATAAATACACAACTATGTATGTTGGCGATTTTCTTGTAGCCACGAACAAAGAATCTCGTTTCGACGTTCCTATTAAAAATAGACAATTTTTAGAAAAGTATCCGTTAAGATATGGCTAATCACTATACATATATAAAAAAATTAATGTACTATGCAATTATACTAAAAATATATTAATTGTTATTATCTAGTTGGAATAAATAAATGTAAAAGAAATACATACATATATATATATATATATATATATATATATATATATATGTATATATAGATGTGTAAAAGAATATAGATTAATATTTAAAAAAAGAAAAAATTAGAGAAATTATCTGGTGCTTAAAATTTTGTTTTTGCTCGCGCAAAAAGTGGCAAAAAAGAGTCCCTCTTTCTTAAAAATTGAGAAAAAGAGAAATCAAGGAAAAAGGAGATAGATAAACAGAGAGAGAGGGGGGGAGGAAGAGGGGGAAAGAAATAATTACATGTTTGATCATTTGAATTTGTTGAGTTTGATAATTTGAGTTTTATTAATCTTCAATAGAAATCGTAGCATTATCGTAATTTTGAATTGAGAATATGTTGTTGGCAAAACGTCAACAAATTTGGATCATAACTGAGATTAGAATATTTCGAGTTAATATAGAGATTAAACAAAGAATGAAAGACGCCAAAGAATTTTATTCCTGAAAATGCCTCATGCGGTCGCTTCGCTAATACAAAGATTATTGTAGAGAGAATGCGGAGAGGGAGCGGCATGCGCGGTTCAAAAAAATCGCACCTTGCCGCTCTTTAATCATTCTCTAAGAGGGAACAAAGAAGGCCGTCACGAGCCACGAGAATTCTCCGCGAGAATCCGATCGAGGACCGCCTCCTTACGCCCCTGCCTCTACCGCCCCACCCGATTCGTATCGAAGCACGCGCACGAGTCCCAACACAATGGTAAAGTAGCGTGTGTCGTCATACCGCCCACTCGCCGCTCGTTTGCGCTCTTACGCGATATCCGTGATAACGGGGAAGGCTGACTCGCGATGCAGCCTCCACCCACTTTGAACATGGGACTCCACCTAACTTGGAAAATAAACACGTGTTTCCTCGCGCAAGATGTACATACACACTGCTTGTTACGCCGCACCAAATGCCAACGCCACCACGTTGTCGCTACTGGTCCAATTTCCGCACCGTTGCGAGTAATTATGGGAAGACACGCGTCATTTTCCCAATCGGGAAAGCACGCTGATCGCAAGGAGCCGACTTGACGCGAGTCGATAAAAACGGAACTGTGCACGCGTTATCGTGCGTTTTCACGTGTACAAGCGGGTAAAGCGAGCGACGCATCATTACACGAGTTTTCGCCCGACGCGACTCCGTTAGCTTTAGCTCCCGTACGTGCCGCGCACAGAGTCACATATATGTATAAAGAGAAAAAGAGAAAAAAATGGCATGTACGCGTACACACACGCGCGCACATGCCACGCACGCGACGCCCGTCACTGTGTACTCTGTACCGTAGAGTATCGCGCTCGCGCACTATACTACACGACCATTAGTAGCGGCTGCATCATTTTCTTCGCGTTGATCGATACGCGATCGAGCGAGATGTATGCGGATGTATAGACGAGTCGCTTAAAGTTGCTCGTTTAGATCGCGAGACAATTCGCGCCGAGTTTTAACGTTACTGCTCCCCGGGGATAGATAGAAATTGTGACGCGCACAGTATCGCTGGTCGAGGAGAGAGTCGACGAAAAATGATGCAGTTGCGGCGATCCGCGCGACCTGTCAAATTATCGTGCGATCCATCGACACGTGCGTCGTACACTCTACATTCACCACACTCTCCGTTTAGTCATTTATTCACGTTCGCGAAAACGTAACAACGAATACTAACAAATACCGCCGTAATGGGCCTAGTCGAGACCGAGACGTATACGCACGTATACGTATGTACATATCGTGGGGCCAATGGGCGGTGCGCGAAATGGCAACGTCGCCGTACGTTCGTCACGATGGCACGAACCCGCCGATTGGCGGTCGGCCGTGGTTCGTGCGGCTGCTCGCCAACCGAGCTGGCTAGAGTTAGTTGCAGCTGGCTGGGGCGTCATTCGACAGGGGCGTACGCGGGTACACTTTGGACGCCCACCCCATTACATAGGGCTAAACCACGCGGACCTCCCTCTACTCTCTTCCGCTTCTCTAGTCTTTCGCTTCCTCCCACCTTTCGTTTCACATGTATGTCAACTGTGATTTACCATAACGTGCTATCGAGTCGAGTCTGTCGAGTTGTTCGCCGCAAGTACTTTGTTATTTCATTTCGAAAATATCGATAAAGAAGAGATACATTTTAAATAAAGTTTCGTAGTTCTCTCGAATACACGTATGACGAGTCTAAGAATCAAGGGTTTCAAATTCCTCCCCCTTTCTCGCGAAAAATTATAATTTAAATTTTTGTCTGAAATTGTTGCGATTTTTGATTCTACTGCGATAACAATGTGTGCGTGTCCGAGAGAGAGAGAAATATAGTTCTATTGTAGACAAATGTCAATCTGATAAAATAAAATTTCAAGTCCTTTGTTTGACATCAACTTTATTGATGTTGACAGTTATGAAATAATTTATAACAGTACAATTATCAATTGCATCAAGTTACGATGATAATAAATTAAGTAATTTTTTGCAACATATATCCATAATTTGTACAATTTTAATATATGTATAATGTAAATGACGAGAGAGATACAATAGTACTTTACACTATTATATAAGTTTAGTTTCAAAAATTGAACGACAAGATTTCATTTGTTCAACGTGCTCGAGATATTTTTTACAACATATATATTCACAATTTCACTATTCAGAGAAATATCGATGAGAAAAAGAGAGCAATTATTCTAAATTAAATAATACATAATGTACAATTGTAAATACATACTATAAATATTACAAATGTATGACAATTTAGCGTGACAAAGTTTCTATCTTACATAGAATACACTCTTATTACAATAATAGAACGCAATTGTATTCATTATGGCGCATCAGCATGTATATATTGTACAATTAGAATGCAAATACTCTGTAATTTGTACATAATATGCAATGCAAGTAATACATGGCGGCTGCAATGAGGAAATTTTCTTGGATAAATTTAAAATATTCTCCTTAAAATATGTATGACACACGTGTGCAGATGCACACATATAAGTTTAGTTACCAATGTGTGTACGTATGTGTACATGTAATTTTAATTTTACATGTCGCTAAAAAAAAACGTACGCGCGAAATATGCGCGCAAAGAGAAAATACGATAAAATTTCAGTGTCCGAGTATCGTGAATATGAAACTGTTATATAACTATAGTTTAATATCTTTTTAAATTATTATTCACATATAGTTTTATTTTGCTAGGGGTTATTTGATTTTCAATTTCGACGTACCAATGCACGTATGTTGATGCACTGATTCAATGTACTGGTATTCTATAATAAATGTACAATATAATAATGAAACACATTCAAATCAAATAAAATTAAAATATTTCAAAACGTTGCAGCATATAAGAGGATGAGTTTCTCTTCATAGTCCTCCACCCGATCTCTCAACGCTTATTTGCTTTTTGAGCATTTCTTTTTCGTGTTGCGCTTCCTCCATTTCAGCCATCCGTGCGAAACGCGAGTATGCCACATGACCAGACTTTATAGCCGACATCATCTATATGTAAAAATAACACACATACATGTATGTAGTGGATAATTAATACAAACAGGTGTATTAGTGAAAAGATATTCAACAAGACGATATAATTTTCGATATTTGTACATTATAGTAAAATTGCATGCGATATATATATATATATATATATATATATATATATATATACATATACATATATAAAAGAACATGAAAAGATAAAAAAAAGATTACTAATTACTAATTTATCTCCCAGTTTGGAAGATTGTTATCGGTTTAGCGTCACACATAATTATACGAGCAAGAAAAAGAAACATCGCTTCGAGAAAAGTGTTAGCAAAGAAAAAAGCAAGAAATCTGTGACTGTGACTGTGTGCACAATGCGCAATGTCACAGACCTGAAGATATTCATCCAATTCAACTTGACCATTCATATTGGTGTCGATTTCGCGTAGAATTTCATGAAGTTCTTCACCCGGTACTTCCTTATCTCCAAAGAGCTGTGAGGAGCAGAAAAGAATATATGTCAAGTATATGGTTGACGATTTACCTGCAAATAGTCTTGTAATTCCATTTGACCGTTGTAAGTAAGATCAATTTCATTCAACAAGCTGTGCATCTCGTCCTGGTTCATTCTTATACCTAATACCTGCACATCGGCGATTAATCGATATCGATGACAATTAAAGAGGAGAGAAGCATAATATGAAAAAAGTATCATGGGACACATATTGAAACTCTCGTATGCAAACCTTTAATCCTCGTCTAATATCATTAATAGAGACATATCCTTTTTTGTCCTTGTCTATAATTCCAAAACGTTTAATGTAGAGCTGGATCTCGTCTTTGGTGAGATTGATGGGAATCTTGTCGCGAGAAGCACGATTCACCATTTGACCCATTTCTTGTGCGAGAAATTCACTGGCCTCACGATGTTGCTTCTTCTTTTCCTCTGTCGACCAATGCAATTCTTCGGCCATGATGTCTATGATGGCTGGCAATGCCTCTTGAGCCGCTTGCACATTGAGGAAAGCGAGTCTCAATCGACGCGCGATCATATCGATCGCGGTTCTGGCATATTCTCGTACACCATAACGTATCTGAAAAGTATAAATATATTTCGGACATTCGGCATTGTGAATATGTTAATCTAATTAATTGTAGATCTTGATTTCAAACTCGTGTAAGAAGCGCTTACCTCAGCATCGATATACGGGAATTCCGGATGAATTTTTTTTCCAATAATCGGCCATCGTTTCCCTGTCAAAGAAGCCATTTTAGCTACGGCAAACGCACGATCTCCGTAACTCTTGGATAAATGTTGCGCGACTTCGCATTCTAAACCAAAGTCCTGCACTAATCTAATGTACATTGTAGGACTCCAGCCCTGTGCACCTTCCAGAAGAAAACCATCGGTCTGGCATGATCTTTCAGGTTGTAGATCACAAGCTTTAAACAGGTATCAATGAGACACATACACCCGCGCGCGTGCGCGCACACATACGCGTATGCATATAAAAAATTACTGTCTTTGATTAATCCGCTTCAATGTACCTTTTATGGTTGCGTCAATGGTTTCTTGAGCCATGGCTCGATAAGTCGTCCATTTACCACCTGCTATTGTGACGAGATTCGTAGGACTAACGTGCACGATATGATTTCTGGCAAGCGATTGAGTGTTCGGTTTGTTCGGATCGGAAACAAGGGGTCTGATACCGCTCCAGGCAGAGAGAACGTCCCCGCGGCGTACTTCGACGTCCGGATTTAGATAATTTTTTACTTCCTGCAAGATGAACATGATTTCGTCTTCCGTGGGTCGAGGATTATGCGTTACTTCACACGGTAGATCGGTAGTTCCCGCGATAGTTTGCTTTTGCCACGGCAAAAAAAAGATTACGCGACCGTCGCTCGTCGCTGGATCGAGTAAGCCCATCTGGTCAGGACTAGAGCAAAGAGAATTGTAAAGAGAAAAATTATTGTTTATAGAGACACGAATAAATATATTACGCACGTATATTAATACGCTAGCTCTCTTTTATGTTACCTGTAATATCCTGGTAGCACTATATGAACTCCGGAAGACGGAGCGCAGATAGATTCAACGTTTTGATCGTCCATTTTTCTGATATGATCGGTAAAGGGGCCGGTTGCGTTGATTATCGCCTTAGCCTTTACGTCCCATTCCTCTCCCGTAAGTTCGTCTTTAAGGTGAGCACCGACGAGGACACGTTTGCCATCCTTTTTTTTTCGGGTGGAAATAGTTTTTTAGAAGTCTTTTAGAAAATATTTTCATTTTACAACTACTAAAACATACGTATATACCTTGTCGAGACCCTTGAGCAGATTAACCACTTTAACGTGATTTACAACTGTCGCCCCGTGTCTTGAAGCTGTCAGAGCGATTGCCAAATTCATTCTAGCATCATCTTGCTGACCTGTATTATATGCCAAACGACACATTTAAGAGTAGATAAGATAGATATACTTATACGTTATATCTCATGTAAAAATTGTAAAACGGAGATTGCGTCCGAGGACGAATACCGTCATAATAGACAATAGCTCCCGTCAGTTTGTCGCCTTTTAGCATCGGAAAAAGTTCCAAAGCATTTGATTTACTCAGATAGTACGACGACTTCACTGTTTTGCTACCTGCTACCAAATCGTACATCTTAATGCCGAACCAATAATAAGGAATCTGCCACCATCTGACAAAAATAATAGATGTATATGTATATATATATATATATATATATATATATATATATATATATATATGTGTGTGTGTGTGTGTGTGTGTGTGTGTGTGAAAAGCAAGCATCATTAAAAAAAAACTATGCCCGTAGCGTAGCGCACATAAACTAAACGTACGTATAAACTGGCAGCATAATAGGTAATGGATGCGCCAAATGCGGTGCGCTCTGCAGCATCGACGCACGTTCGTGAAGTGCTTCTTTTACCATTCTATATTGCTCGATGTCTAACTGCATGATGGCTTTTTGCAAATATCGTACACCGCCGTGAATTAACTTTGTGCTTCGGGAAGAAGTTCCAGATGCGAAGTCGTCGGCTTCGACCAGCGCAGTCTTCAAACCTTTTGAGAAAGTATAACGTTGTTGCTTTTTCTTTTTTTTCGAGCGAGCGAAAGGCAGTAAACTTACCTCGCGTGCAAGCATCCAGAGCGCATCCTGCCCCTGTCGCACCACCCCCAATTATTAATACATCGTACTCTTGCGACTTTAAAGTCTTTACTTGACTCTCTCGTGTTGGTAAAGTTCTTCGAGGCGGTCTTGGTTTTCCTTTTTCAGCATGTACCTATAACCATCAATATCTTGAGAAATAAACAAGTATGTAGAATTTAAGTGAAATTCAAATATAAGGGGTATTATTTGTAATATATATAACATACACAATGATAAAGTTAAGAACACACACAGACATGTATTTGCAGCTTTCGAATAATCTTTGATCGCATTACAATTATCCCGCATATGTACTACCTACCGTATTATCCGACAAAAGAAAGTGTGAAGTAAGAGTACCAGCACCTATGGCACTCGCTCCTGCTACAAATAATCTAAGTGATGCCATTGTCTGTCACGTAACTCGTCGATTTTGTCGAAAAAAACTAAAATCAAAAAACATGATACATGTACACATTTTCATATTTAATACAAAATTTACGTTATATATATATATATATACATAAGTGTATGTATGTATACATACATAGTGAAAAGATTACACCTATTACAATATGCAAGAATTTAAAAAAAAGAAAGAAAAAGTGGACAAATAAAAAAATCTGAACAGGTGACAATTTGATAGCAAATGAGTTAAATGTTAAATATTGTTGGAATAAATATATTTCCATATACGTTAAAACGTAAAACAACATTTCTCTTTCTTTAGATTCATATACGTATATCAATTGAGCTATATATTATAATAATAATAATAATAATAATAATAATAATAATAATAATAATAATAATAATAATAATAATATATATATATATATATATATATATATATATATATTAATATAGCAAATTGTATACTTAACATGTGTGACATGTTCTTAAAATTTATTTAATATAATATATAAAACGTTATTCTTAAAATTTATTTAATGTTATAAATATATTTTTATAAAAAAGAAGAAAAAAGCCTAAACTGGGGAGATACATCTTTTATGTGCGCTCGTGAGAACGTTCATTATACGTTCACTATAAATAGTTTAAAGAGTGTGCATTGTGTTGTAAAATTATCGAGACACAAAGTTGAAGTTTTCGTATTATTATAATTATATACACACATATCCCACTCATACAAATTCCTCATTGCATATATGTAGAGTAGCGTACAACAAATACTGGATTTCATTCGACACAACCTTGATAAGAAGCACGTGGGATTACGTAAGTGAGATTCAGTGTTACACCCACGCAGTCATGTAATCGGCTCGTGCAATCTCGAGAAATCTACGTATGTACGTGTCGAGACAGTACGCAACTGACTAGCGGTACACACTATCTCGATTTTTAGTTAATCTAGTCACAATTAAGTGTGAATCGTACTGAAAAAATGCACAAAAAAGTACCGTAGAGACATGCGATTTTCATACGTTATTGTGAAATTTCTCTTAGTTTTTACACATGAAGCATTTATACAAAAAAGGTTGGATAAGAATTATCGATACAGCTGATCGTTACCGACTGCTGTATCTCTCAGTCTAGAGATCGAGAAATTTTACTAAATTTCACAAATATGATATATTATATCATGTTACATTGTACTTTGGAGCTTTATTGTGCGCATATCATGAGAACATAATGTCGGATAATTCGGTGTCACAAGGTTGCAGTTAAAATAGCACTCAAAGATCTAGCATGTATATCCGTGCCAAATGCTTCGAAAATGTCACTCGCATCAACAATAGACACATATTCAATAGCCCATACATTACTTATTACGCATTATTTAATCTTTGTCTTCTTGATTCTGTCTTGATTCACTCGTAATACATAACAACTCGAGACATCGAGTCTGCTTTATTCAACAACTTCCAAACACGCAAAGTGTATCTTTAATTATGCGTTGTGTTTTAATTACATTTGTTTAGCACATTCTTCTTGTGTTTTTCACTCTTTCAATCGATCAAACAATCGAACCAAGTTAATTTTCAAAATTTGAGAATCGATAGAAAAATCCTCGTTCGCCAAGTATCTGATAAATGTCATGCAGGTTTCACATTGCCGCGCCAACGAATGACACGCTTAATAGTATTACCAGGCAGCGAGGCGAGCAAAGAATTGGATCTTTCGAGCCGGTTCTTTGAGTAATAGCAATATATACTTACAGTGAGACGAGGAGACGTCTTCTCCGCCTATACCGAATGTCGTGACATTAAAATTTTAGAAAGTACATGTCTTCCAATATCTTTCTTCTGATAATGGAGCAGTCGGGAAAAAGCGTTTCAAACCAATACAGCCACCAACGACCACCGACGGCGACTGATTAATCAAAGCTTGAATTTCGGCGAAAGCATAAAGACTAGAAATAGGAGACTCGAGACTCAACTCGCGGAGAAGGGATAGGGAGGTAAAGAATTATCACTGCTAGTTGGCGCCATTATTAATAAGTGCACACAGTTGCGCCATCTACCTATATAAACCATATATATCTTCTTACATTCAACTGTGATTGGTCAGTTTTCTTACAGCTTAGACCCGATCTACAATAGGTCATTTAAGCCCTAAGCCTTAAGAAATTGATCAATCATAGTCGAGTAGTCTCTTCATACTTGACTATGGCTGTGTTCCAAAATTCACTGCAAGTACTGAAAATCTATAGTGTACGTCACGTAAACTATAGATTTTCAGTACTGGCAGTGAATTTTGGAACGCAGCCTTCGATTGGTCATTCTCTTAAACTTAGGCCCGGTTCCACAATCCAGTTAATCCGAATTTAAGTAGTGAATAGATCAATCAGGACCCAGTTTAACGTATTAAACTCGGATTAACTCGAGTTGTGAAACCGGGCCTAAATTACCTATTGTAGACCCGGTCTTACGGTTACGGTAAACATTTATTACGTGCAAAGCATAGACCTTATAAGTATGGACTGGCAATACGTATCAGACTGTGTCCGGAGGAGGTTAGAGAGAGAAACATACTTTTTGGTACTTCTCTTTCTACAAGTGCAATGCATACTTTCGGACACTTGTAGAAAGAGAAGTACTAAAAAGTATGTTTCTCTCTCTAACCTCCTCCGGACACTGCTTCTCTACAGAAACTATAGGCAATTGCCAGTCCATATCTGTAAAGGCCTATCCAGACAAACTTGCATAAGTGCATATGCATAACATAAGATCACATGGACCAATGAGCATCGAGTATTAAGTCGCCATATTGACTTATATAACATAATACTCGATGCTCATTGGTCCATGTGGTCTTATGTTATGCATATGCACCTATGCAAGTTTGTCTGGATAGGCCCTAAGGTCTATGGCGCACAACCATAAGCATAAAAAAATTGATTGGTTCATTTTCTTATACTTGGGGACCAATCAATTTCCTTATGCTTCTGGTTATGCGCTTATGCAAAAGTGTGTGCTGCGGCCTTTACGCCTTACAACTTTATGCTACGGCCATGACCTTTAAGGCCCGTCTACAATGGCAGTATCAGTAGGTCGTAGCAGTTGTAAGCGAAATGAACCATATCCATTTCCTACGGATTTCGTGAGTTCTACGACGGTTGCGCATACGCAGTCACGGAAGAATTCTGCGTTTTTAATTCTGATTGCGCGTTCGCCGTAGAACATACATCGTAGCCGTAGGAAATGGATTTAGTTCATTTCGTTTACAACTGCTACGACCTACTGATACTGCCATTGTAGACGGGCCTTTAGGATGCATTCACATCTTGGCAGAAAAGCAGAAGCCAACCAGGGGGTCAATTGTGTATCACATTATTAAGTGAAAATTACAAAACAGAGTAAATTTACTAAATGTTGACTAATGAAATTATTGAAATATTCTAGTACATTTGCTCACTTATAATTTTCACCAAGTTGTGTGATACACAATCGACCCCCAGAACTCGCGCTGGTAATTATAATTTCTACTTTTTGCCTATTTTAATGTATTGCTTACACACTGCTTATTACCAGCGCAAGTTCTAATTGGCTTCTGGTTTTTTGCCAGGTATGAATGCGTCTTAATGTAATAAAAAAACTTTAAGTCCGTTTTACACTATACGTCGGGATTGACCAATCAGGGCTGCGTTCAGAAATCCTATCCGTGGGGTTGAGCAATATTTAACCTATCAATCGAGATAGAGAAATGATTGCTCTTTTTATCTCGATTGATTTGACATTACTTTATCCTGCGGGTAGGATTTCCGAATGTATTCCCAATTAGCCTATTTTAACCGTCAATCTACAATACAACTTTAAGCGATCAATTACAATGTTCTTGGACACGCCGACCATCACGTGACATCTACGAATGTTCACGAAAAACGAAGTTTAGATTCACATCATTGCACAATAAAAAATATATAAATCATGCGTCGAAACAAAATAATACTCTTTGTTATTTAACAGCAAATATCTGTACAAGTTAGGCACTCGCGTACGTCATAAAATATCTGTATAAAGATTCATATACATAAGTCTCTTATACTGTATCATATGGAGCAAAAACTTAATTCTAGAGACATACATTATCATGTAAGACAAACTGTGATATATACATATATATATATCACAGTTTTATATATATATATATATATATATATATATATATATATACCATATACAGCAAAAACTTAATTCTAGAGACATACATTATCATGTAAGACAAACTGTGATATATATATGTGTGTGTGTATGTATATATATATATATATATATATGTATATATATATATATATATATATGTATATGTGTGTGTGTGTGTGTGTGTGTGTAAACATAATACAAATGCAAAGAATGTACGATGAATATGGATGTACAATAAATAGCAAAGATTGTTGTAGAGAGTCGACACACACGGCATTGCTAAAACTTACTATTTACACAAATTGTTATATCAAAATATATGATCATTCTTATCATATGATATTAGTAATTCTAGTGAAAAAAATTTTTTCACATTAGAGATGCAACGTTCAGAGATTGCAATTCAACGAAATCTTGTCAAAAACAAAATTTGGAGTTCTTTACACTTCGTCAGAAGCAAGTGCTTCTTTGCCATCTGGAGAAACCGATTTTTCTTTTCTCTCTTCTTCTTTCATTTGAAGAGCGACCGCCGATTCCAACACTCGTATTCTTCCTTCATGTTTCACAATTACGGCTTTTAATTTTCTTATTTCTTCTCTGCATTCCCTCAATAACTCTTCCTACAGAAATTAAATAACGAATAATTACAAATTTATAAGTTATTTGATCAAGATGCTTAGCCACAGAAAAAATAAAAGGGAACAAATATTCGATATACATACACAAGCTCCTGGCAAAACTTGCACGGTATCCTGTGCAGCATTAGACGCAACCTTGGCTCCTTTACTCAATATATTAGATTTCTTTTGTACTTTAAGTTCATTTTTGGAAGCGGACGGTTGATAACCATCTCTTAAGGATATTAATACAGGTTCTGCATCGGTGCCAGTTTGCCATTCCTCCGCTGAGATTGCAGCTGTATCACCAGGAGTATCAGGATACAAGTCTTCTTGAAAAAGCTCAGACTGGAATATAATTATATTATAAGCATATTACTATTAGTTTGCTTAAAAAATTGATCTTGATACCTTACAAATATTTTCTTTTTCACACGTTCTCTTACCTTTCTCGGCACTGTCATGGATATTACTTGGCAAAAGCCCGAATTATTTAATCGATAGAACCTGGTTATTTCACAGCTATTAACGTCACAGCCCCGTTTTGGCATCATTCCTATACCTCGTTGAGGATCAGGAGTTTGAAAAGTATTGATATAATGAACAAAAGGCGGTTCGGGTGTAATTTCAAAATATCGAATCACAGAATCACCCTTGCCACATAAATACACTAGATTTGTATCAGGGTCATACAGAGGGAACATAACTCCGTTGCTCGTATCTAATTCTACCATAACTATCGGTTCACCCAACATGTCGGGAGCTCGCAAAGAATATTGTCTTTCCGACATTTTACTAAAACCTGTCGTGAAAATCAAGCCACCCCTGAAAATATAATGCAAATAACTTGGTCAAAATGCACGAAAGTTTTATCAATCTGTACTACATAACATAATAGTAGTAACATAATTTCGTTACTTAACATATTAATCTTTTGGTGTGTATGCAGTAAAAATAATTTTGTATATTCACTTTGCGCGCGCATTATAAATTTTGTATGTATATATATATATGTGTGTGTGTGTGTGTGTGTGTGTGTGTGTGTGTATACATATGTGTGTGTGTGTTTGTACGCGCGCGCGCGCGCATATATGTATATATATGTGTATGTATATATACACACGTATGTGTGCATGCACGCACTCACGCATACACACATACAATACATATACATATTATATAATATATATATATATATATATATATATATATATATATATACATACATACATACATACATACATACACACACACACACACACACACACACACACACACACACACACACACATATATATATAACACATACATATATATATAATGCCAGTCTGTTGTTTCTTGTCACTCTAGCATACGATCGAGCGACAAGCAACAATGGAATGGATCAAGCAGTGTACAATCCATGCATATTTATTCATAATTATTCATCGTTACTAATATCTGATTATCACATTCTCTTATACATGAAAATTAATCATCAAAATTTTACAACATCCACCTTATTAACACACACATAAAGAAAACATCTTTCAACATGTTGCAGTATAGAAATATATAGAAATTATAATTACAATGCAAATAATTATGTGCAGTGCTATCGCTCAAATAAACTTTCCCTTGGATATAATATTTCGTATACTTTCCTTTCACAGGTATAAATGTGATAATTATGATATTTTATAAAGATATCTCTATCAAAATTATTATTCAATATAACTTACGTATTTACTTTCGCATTCTAACATTTACAATTTGATTAAAAAGTTGATGTACAATACTTACTGTAACATTTATGGAGAATTATAGAGCGCGCATCTTGACACTCGTATTTATTAAGTTGGCAGCTTCGTCATGTTGAAAATTCACTCTGGGAGTTTTCCATTAAAAATTATACAATCTTGCACTACACAAACCGGAAATATAGGATGATAAAGAAGTAAATATACCTTTTACGTGCGTGTGTTTAAATATATTTCTCTTATAACATATTCTCGCGAAAAGAGATGCGAAAAATAAATACCACCATGTACGCGCGAAAATATTTAATCAAAAAAAAGGAAAGAAAATAGAAAAAAAGATGAGAAATGGAAAATGTAGAGTAAAATGATATTCTAAAAAATATTGCGGCTGTATTTAAAAAATCATCTGGCAATTTCTTAATATAATTTTTTTACATTGTATCATTACAAATGTATTTGTGTAAAAAGGTGGATGTATACCATTTGATGATTATGTTTTATATTCTCTTTTTATAGTTGTTACCTTATATAAATAATTTATATGTACTGCCATAATAAAAATAAAAAAGTTGTGTAACAATATTTACATTTTTTTAACTCATTATATTTACAATATTCTCTATATATTTACAACATCCACACTCATGCAAAATTCACTCGTTAGTGCATTCTTTCTTTCAAATGTTATTTTAATATGATGCAACAATGTAAATTACATCGTGTAAGTATATTAATGAAATTATGAAAAAGTATTTTCTATGTTAGGTGTACATAAATTTTAAATAAAGCATTTCTCTCTTGATAAAATTTAGTACATTAAGCATCTCATATATTTCTATATTCCAAAATGAAATAACAATATTTATAAGATAGAAGAATTAGATAATATATATTCTTTGTAGAATAAGATTGATGCGTACAAAATTTATTTATATATATTTATATATATTTAGCTTTAAAATGAAACAAAGTAAAATTAAGTACTTCTTTCCAAGTAAAGCCCTATTTTCTCCAACTTGTGAAGATTGATACTTGACAAAGTATTTGAAAGATTATATACATACATACATATGCATACATACACATACACACACTTTTCAAAACATCTATGCTTCATCTTTTTTTTTTAATTGGCGCATCAATCTTATAATATACACAAATACATAGGAATAAAATATTTAATAAAAGAAAAGAGAAAACGATAGAATAAAATGTTAACGAATTATATGTAAGAATTGCATACCTCAGAAAGATGGCACGAGTCGCTTTGCTTCCTTCGTGTGCTATTGCTTCTTCTAATATTTCACCTGATCTTGGATCCAAGATTCTAATTTTTTTATCTTTACATGTAGTGACTAATCGAGAGCCATCCCAGTTCCAACATGCGGAATAAACCACATCTGGATGGTAATCAATGCGTACTAAGGCTTCTCCTGTACCAACATTCCAAATAATAACAAGATTGTCCGAACCAGCTGTCAGCAATACATTTAATGCAGATGGATGCCATAGCACTAAACCGACTCTGCGTTGATGTAGTTGCAAATCTACTATAGATTCGGTCAATGTTCTAGAAATACCTCCATCGGGTATTTGCCATACTTTGACAACGCAGTCTTCGGAACCAGATGCTATTACATTATCGTTGTGTGGACACCATGCAATATCTAACACGGGTCCTTTGTGTCCACCTACTAAAGGATAATCTGCTGGTATTCTTCCTACCTATAATATTCGATATATTATAAATCGTTATTTGTAAAATATATTTCCACATTACGCTACATCTAAAGAATCTATTATCTGATGAAAAAACGAGTTATACATATATATATACACAGACACACATACACATGCGCGCGCGCGCGCGCGCGCGCACACACACACGTGTGTATGTATGTGTGTAATAAATACTAACAAAAATATATACTTTTCAATACATAGCAACATACGTAAGAGATTAAATCAATTAAAATCAATCGACCAAAACAACTGATGTATAAAAAGCAAGAATGTAAAGAAATATTTATGGGCAGGGGCTTACCTTATTGTGCGGTAAGACAATAAAAGCACCGCCACCAGCCGATTCTACAATAATGGCGAGAAATTTAGGATTCACGGCACAAAATGTCGAGTCCCACGATGATTTGGACACTCTAATATTGTCGTAACACTGCTCACGTTTCAGAGAAGTTCCGTACACGTGGCGGAACTTGCTGGTACGCACCACACGGAAAGACATGTCTGCACACCTATTGTCAATTAAAATTGAACTTTTCAAGAGAGACGCTTGGAGTTTAAAGAAAATTATTTAAACATCAAATAACCTCTAGATCTCTATGTGCGAAAAGTACGCGGTATCTCGATACGATGCTTTCGCGCGAGCGCGCGCGCTCGCGCTCGCGCGAACGCGTTTGTAAGGTTATTTTAATAAATTAGTGTCGTGTGCCCATGTCGCGCTATGGCACCGCCGGCGTTGCGGAATGAAACATATCCCAATTTTATAAATAGATTTCCCACTCTTCAGCTTTTCGTCATTAAACGGATACGACCGATATGTAAGAAATGTATGTATGTATTTCGGTCGCTTTTTCTCAATCGATATATTTACCAATGCAGGAGGGTGTGCGTGTGAATGTGTGCGCGCGCGCATATACATATGTATACACGTCCATACACTTCAACGATACTGTGTCACCAACTCACTGCAGTGATGTGCCTTTTCGATTATCGTGACGATGTGAATCAAGAGTGAATCGTTTCCTGCGCTCCTTACATGGTGCATCGAAAAATGATTTCGATTCACCGAAATAGACGGGGTCGCGCGAGCGCGAGCGCGGTCGCGGCCGCGCCCGTGCTTGTGCCAGAGCCGCGAGATCGTGATTCAGAACGATTCAAAATAATACAAGATATATTCAGACATATTCACGTCATACCATCAGAATATCAAACACATTACATTTTATATATTTGTATAAAATGGAAAATTGAAATTTTATAAATTAAAAGAGATCTGTGTGTCGGAGAAGAGATTTCGACGCGCACACATACAAATGTGATGCAAGCTGGCAGTTTACGATAACGACATCCGCAATTATTGCTCGAATCGTTTGTTATCGCGGTTAGGGTGTTATCTTACGTTATAGATTACGCGTGCAACGCAATTTTAATAAGCCACTAATCAATTATTGACGACAGCTCGTAAAATCGAGAACAGTAGAACAGTTGAAGATAATTTGTATTCCCGCCACTGTCTGTTACATCGTAGATGGAATGTAATTCGATAGACGACCACATAGCAGCGCTAGAAACATGAAGAGGCTCTATCATTAAGAATACCTTATTCGGAAATGTACACCCTATTAATTCAAATAGCCTTCGATCACTCTCAAAGTGCAAGATCTACCGTTTTTCATTTTTCTTTGTCATTTTTTTCTTTTTTTTTTTTCGTAGATTTGCTGATCGCTAGCACCTTCATTCTCATGAATTTGTTTCATTCGCCGCCTTTTTTTTATTAATTGTAGATTATATAGATTTTTTTATTAATTGTAGAATTTATCACGAAATAAATCGACAATTTTATCGGATACATGTCATAAGTGCGTTGCGTATTTCTTTAAACTATAAGCTTATAAAACGAAACTTACGGACTAATCTTTCTCGTTGACAAGAGATGCACGCTTTTGGAAGAGGAGTCTTGTCCTCGCTACTAACCTCTTCAGTTGCTAACAATGACGGGTGTGCACGTCGCGAATGTGAGCGCCTTTCCAATTTTGTAAAGACCTATCCAGTAAACGTGTACAACCGTACAATGTATATATGCATACATATGTTTAGAAAATCAACCAATCACACATCTAATATAAAGAAGGCAACGATATGGCATTCTTTATATTAGACACATGATTGGTTGCTTTCTCCATGTATATATATTATACGATTATGCAAATTTATTTGGATAGAACTTTACAGACAATTTATATTACGTTATATATTCGTTGTATATATGCATGCATATATGCATGTGAGTGTGTGATGTATGTACATACATACATATATAGATGTATATGAGAAATGTTTTCTCTTTCTTTTGTTTTCTGAAAGAGAGAGGGAGAGGAAGAGAGAGTAAAGGCGCCTTTTCATGCTGTCGTTCAATGTTCATTTTCAGCCTCAAAAAACATTTCGTGATTAAATAGTAAAGCCGGAAACAAAACGTTTTAAACATTTTGCATGCGATACTAATATGATAGTTATAATACTATAATACGATATATGATATAGTTATTTTGTACATTGGCTACGTTCAGCGGGAAAAGCTGCTTTGCAACTGTTGTAAAATTCGTGAATCTGATTGGTGTATACTCTTAATTTTGGCTGAATCTAAGAGTATACACCAATCAGATTCACGAATTTTACAACAGTTGCAAAGCAGCTTTTTCTGCTGAACGCAGCCATTGGTCGCATTCAACAGTTGGACAACATTTCTAGATTTTCCGATGCAACTCGACGCTGATTGGTCGGACTTGAAAGTAGAAATCAATCATATTCGATTGCTACTTAGCGGTCGAGTCCGCTAAATGCGGCCATTGTGTGTTACACATTGTGTACACTGTACTTTATGACTGGAATATTTTTTTATCTCAATTTAATTTGAGCTTTGCTCAATATTGATAATTAATATAACATTGATGGTTATATTAAAACCATTGAAAATTAATGCATTTGTTTGTTTTTTACTACATATTCCTATATAAAAACTGAATTTTATCACATGATAATTCTTATATAATAATTGATAATTTATGTAGCTTATTCTAATAAGTAGGATTATTGTTTGCCATTACAAAGCATGGAATAAGATTTGTATTAAAACAATTATATATTTCATGAAAGTAATATATTAAAATAAAATAAAAAATAGGTATACTAGTTTCACCATTTTTATATTTATTTAAATCTATCATCCTCTATTTAGATATGTTTAAACTAATTACCTTTAGAATATATATATATATATATATATATATATATATATATATATATATACATGATTATATAAAGATATGTTTGAATACTAATATATATTATGGTGAATTTGCGATGTAAATCCATAATTTATTTGGTAGACATTCTTTTAATTTTTATTTTTTCTTAAAATTTCATTAAGATTTATAACAATCTATATTTTAAAATTTATCAGACTCTTCCAAGTTAAGAGATTAAATGCATAATTTGTGTAATATAATATATAATAAATAAAAAGAAAAGTAAAGAGGACATATAATCCTATTATTACAAAAGTAGTCGCAATGCAGAAAAGTATGCAGCTTAAAATACTCACACCAATGGCCAATACTGTCACTGAAAATGTAACATACTTATAGGAATACACTAACTATATAATCTTGTCACAAGAAATGAAAATATTATTTCTCACCTTGAATTATCACAAAACCAATAAATGCAAATATTGCACAGATAATAGCAAATACAATAAACAGAAGAATAGGTGTTAATAACGATGCTATAGTAACAAAGGTGATTATTTGCAGAAATGGGTTATGGATAAACTGTTCCTTAAATTTGAGAACGTACATACAAACACTAGGATGATACAAAAAGGCTTGCCATTTTCCAGCACATTCTTTATCTGAAAATAAATATTCTCAATTCTCACTTTTCTTCCAATTTTTTTAAATTCCAACATGTATGTAAAAAGTAAATGTGCAATACAGCAATATATATTTAATATCAGTATATAATCTAGTAGACATAGAATATACTTACAATAGATAATTATAGAATTATATATCGTATTGTCTGCATTCTTTGCCTGAAATAAAATGACTCTTCCTTATCCATCTCAAATTAACGATAGTAAAATGAAGAGCAAGATAATATAGGCAGCATTCAAAATCAATTGATTTAATGTACAGATACTGAATATTGGTAAAAGAGCAAAATGATTATTTTTTAAAGACAATAGAGTTTGATTACATAAAAGTTGGATTTTATTTTACCTCTGCCATTGTGGTAAGTAAGAATCTCTTCCGAATGTTTAAAATATTTTCTTATTTCTTAAAATCCAATTATTTTATTAAATATATCATGCATATACATATTATATGACTTTCACGATACGAAGGCGGTGATAAAAAATGACCGTCTATATTTAACCTTTGTACATGATATAGAAAATGTAAATTGTGGGAAAATGTATAAATTATTTATTTACAAGTTTAATATATAGACAAATGGAGAATCTTCGCAAGAAGCTTCCTTGATTCATTTTTTTTACATGTATCGAATTTGGTTAACCGCACTAAAGCCATAATCACACGGATTGCGGGTTCGGTTGCGATTGAAATTGACTAATCAGAACAAAACAATTTGTCGACCGGCTACTCTGATTGGTCAATTTCAACCTCAACCAAGCCTGCAACCCGGTGATTTCGGCTAAGTCCCGATCTACAATAGGTAATTTAAGTCCTAAGCCTTAAAAAATTGACCAATCACAGTCGAGTATTCTCTTAATACTTGACTGTGATTGGTCAATTTCTTGAGTTTTACACCTTACAATCTTATGCTACGGCCATTGTAGAATGGCCTTAAGGGCCTATCCAGACAAACTTGCATAGGTGCATATGCATAACATAAGACCATATGGACCAATGAGCATCGAGCATTAAATCGCTATATTGACTTACATAACATAATACTCGATGCTCATTGGTCCATATGGTCTTATGTTATGCATATGCACCTATGCAAGTTTGGGCCTATCCAGACAAACTTGCATAGGTGCATATGCATAACATAAGACCACATGGACCAATGAGCATCGAGTATTATGTTATATAAGTCAATATGGCGACTTAATACTCGATGCTCATTGGTCCATATGATCTTATGTTATGCATATGCACTTATGCAACTTTGTCTGGATAGGCCCTTTGTCTGGATAGGCTCTAAAGGCCGCAGCACACACTTTTGCATAAGCGCATAACCAGAAGGATAAGGAAATTGATTGGTCCCCAAGTATATGCATAAGAAAATGAACCAATCTATTTTTTTATGCTTATGGTTATGCGCTTATGCAAAAGTGTGTGCTGCAGCCTTAAGGGCCTATCCAGACAAACTTGCATAGGTGCATATGCATAACATAAGACCACATGGACCAATGAGCATCGAGTATTATGTTATATAAGTCAATATGACGACTTAATACTCGATGCTCATTGGTCCATATGATCTTATGTTATGCATATGCTTAACTTATGCAAGTTTGTCTGGATAGGCCTTTAGTCTTACGCTTTAAGGCTAATATTACATTTGTCGTACGACAAATTTTTTAAGCACACTGATTGGCTGTAGAATAGAAAATTTTTAAAGATTCAAAAAATTATTATCCCGCAATCAATCAATGTGCTTAAAAAATTTGTCGTATGACAAATGTAATATTAGCCTAAAGTCCGTTCTACAATGAGTCGTAAGTCGTAAGTCGTAGGCAAATTGACCAATCATGGTTGATTATTTCAAAAATATCAATTTGCCTACAATTTAAGTCTCCTTAAAATCTCATTGTAGACGACGCATTAAGATGCGGCCTCATTGACGCTAAAAAGTAGCGTCAACCATTGGTTGAACAAAGAGGTAAGTATACTTACCTCTTTGTTCAACCAATGGTTGACGCTACTTTTTAGCGTCAATGAGGCCGCACCTTTATAATTTAGCGACAAAAGTCGTCACGTGATCATTTTTGTCACTCAAATGATCAGTTTCAGCGGCACGTGAAAATGCACCTTTATTCCTTATGTTATTTCCAAGCTCACTTGGCTGTTATTTCGACGAAAAGCTTAATAATAAGCTTGTGAGTTTGGAACTTATAATATAGTTTGCTTGATATAATATCATAAATAGTATTAGAAAAACCCAGTTGTGGTCGAATGGAGAAAGCGGTCGCCTGTTAATCGGTAGATTCTAGTTCAATGCTGGCTAGTATCACAATCTACAAGTTAAGATGAAGGTTACACATTTTGACATTTTCATTATTCCTATCCGTGATTAAGATAAAACTACTAATACAAAGAAGAGCACAGAAATTCTTATTGTAATAGAATTGTAAAAAAAGCACGACATGTCCATAGGATATTCGTTAATGAATATTTAATCCAACTTAAATAGTCATTGCGAGACACTTTGAAAAATCCATTTGAAAAGTTTTTAAATTAAAGTTTCATCTAAGATAATAAGATAATGTCTTTAATAATGTGTAGAATAAATTGCGATGATTGGCCGCACGCTAATCGATTACTAAATATGCGCATAAAACTTGTGATGTGTTTTGACGAAATCGTCAATAAAAGTCGATATTTTAACAAGTTGATAACAAATTAAGATAATCGCGTTGATGAGAGCTTAGCGAATCCGCAAATAATGCAATTACAAATTTCGCTGGGTATCCCATCGGATGACAGGATTGGATCGTCGTGGCCGAGGTAATAAAAAGAGACAGATACTTGTCGGTGCATTATATATATGTATATCAATTTGAGGTTTAATTAAACATTCGAAACATTTTCTAAAGTTACTAACAAGTCGCTTAATATTCAAATCGTCCGAGTTTTATAACATTATCTTTTTTAATAAATCTCTATTACGTATAATGTGCAACATGTACAAAATTACAATACGATAATGTATACAATATCAATTCAGCAGAAATGTTAACATCTGTCAATTATTAAACTCAAGTAGGAGTCGAACATTGAGATATTTACAATTATTATCAATTATTTATAATTATTCTCAAAATATAAGATCTGCTATTTTATTTCATTTAGGAAAGAAAAACGGAAATGGTTCCTGTCATTGCTGTGTGGCACGTGTTTGATATATGCCACGCGTACATCTATCCCTTTATTGATGCCAATTATCAGCAAGAAAAAGCATTGGTCGAAGCCTGAATCTGGCATTATACTATCCAGTTTTTTCTGGGGATATACATTGACTCAAGTGATTAGTGGTTATATTAGTGATAGAATCGGTGGGCAGAAAGTATTATGGATATCCGCTCTCGGTTGGTCGGTAACGACCTTCTTTATGCCAGAAATCATAGACTCTTTTTCCAACGATCAAACTTCTGTTTTACTCGTTGCAGTAGTGAGAATGATAAACGGGGCATTTCAAGGTAGTTTTTCTACATTATGTTGGTGCACTAAAGGCAATTGAAGATAATAATACTTATCACTTGCAGGAATGCATTTTCCTAGCATGATTAGCTTGATTAGTCAACGCTTGCACGAGGCTGAACGCGCCTCTTTTTTTAGTTTGTTAACATCAGGATCTGCTCTGGGTACATTACTAACTGGATCATTAGGCTCCTATCTTTTAGAGAATTATAACTGGATGACTGTCTTTCGAATCTTAGGTATAATATATTTTATATATAATTAGAAACAGAATGTTAAAGAAAGAATAAATCTAGTTTTTACTGTAAATATGTTGAATTTTGAGAAAAGTTGGAAGAAGTATTTATTAAATGTGATAATGTGATCCCAACTTAAAAAATCAATCAAATAAAAATCAATCTCATTTTAAAAATTAATCAATTTTAAAAAAGATTTACAGGAGAATTAATATTTTAATAATAGTAATAACTTATGCCACATGTGTAATGAATTTTCTTTTATATGAATCTTTATGCTTGAATTTATATGAATCCTTATGCTTGCAATGTGACTAAATTTAATTCTGTTTTATTCAAATTTGACAAATTATGTTTCATCTTCGAATGTGTTTCGACGAATTTTGAGTTGATCTTTTTTTACTAAAAATATCAAAAGAATTTATTATTTACTCAAGTTCTCTGATTTTGATTAAGTTACATTATTTACAATTATTTTTATAATGCCCAAATATTTATAGTTAACCCATAAAATAATAAAACCTATGACTATTAAAGTAAGATACATATTTTTAAAAAAGGAAAATTAAAACTATTTCTTGTATCCTTTAAATATTTCTTACTTTTGCTCGTAGTTATTAGTCTTTTCTTTTCTTTTTCTTTTTTTTTTTAAATGAGAATATCAAATTAATCAAAGAATTCACAGATGAAAGAGGATATATGTTACAATTTAGTAGAGAATTGATTATTGTAATTTTTTTTTAATTTTATTAATTTTAAAATTTATTGAAAATTAGATACATTTATAATGTTTATTAATTTATTGATATAGGAGGCATGAGTTTGGCGTGGACAACTTTATTAAGCTATCACATCCTGCCATTTAAGGAAAGAACAATTTCTACCAAGTCAAGTACTAACTACACTTTGCCTTGGTTCAAGCTTTTATCAAAGCCTCCTTTCTGGTAATCATGATGCAAGAAAGTAGAATGTATATATATTTCTTTTTTTAAATTTGAGGACAAAAAAATAGAATTTTCTTCACTGTTTATTTGCCCTAATGAGAGGAAGACAAAGAAAGAAAGAGAGAGAGAAAGAGAGCAGGCATTATTATTTCTAAAGAGTTATGATTATATTCTAATGATGTAAATTTGCATATTGCAAATTATATGTGTATGACTTAGTTTAATTGCTCAAGTGCTTGATTTGTTTTTAAGAAATTTGTTGCTTGTCCAATTCCGAATTTTTCAATTGTGAAAATTGCAAAAGACTGTGATTATAAATTTTTGTAAGTACAGCACAACAATCTCAAACTAATTTTCTTATCTGCTTTGTAACCACTAATTATAACTTTCAGGTCCTGTGTTATTGGACATGCTTGTCAAAACAACTGTTTTTTTGTATTACTCTCATGGATGCCTACGTATTTTCATGACATATTTCCTGAAGTTAAGGTAATTCTGTTATTTAATTTTCATTGAGTATTATTTCTCATAGTTTTCTTCCACATAGTATGAACAAAAATGTGTGTTTATAACAAAAATTTAAAATTATTTAATTGAAGTTTTTATAGAAGTTTTTATATTTTTTCATAGACATCACAAAGCATCATATATAATATTTTGTAAAAAGATCCACAAAAATAGAATTGAAAGTAGTCAAATATTTAGTTAAAAACTATATACCCTTTTTATTACTATCATGTTAAATAATTTAATAGATTTGGGTTGTGAATGTCATACCATGGTTATCGATGCTACCTTGTACATTTTTGGGAAAAATTATATCGGAAAGGATAATTAAAGCTGGTTATTCTGTGACTTTGACGCGCAAAACAATTCAAACAATCTGTTTCGTCACTGAAATTGGGAGTCTCTTGTTTTTGAGTAAGTTAACATTTAATAATTAAAAACTAAAAGAAAAATTTAAGACAGAATTCTAGTTTTAGATCGTGTAGTTTAGAAAACATTTTAACAAAAGAAATGTACATATGTATAAAATACATATCAAAATGTAGTAAGAAATATGTTAAATATGTAAAATTATAAATAAAATTCTTGAATTCGAAAATTGTAAATAATCTAAAGCAGCTTAGATGTTGATCACAGATGTTGATATTTATATACATATATATATTGTAATTTTTATGGTTGAATTCTCTTAATCCCGAGAAGTAGAATTGGGTAAACTCTTTGTACTTTCCATTCGATTTTCTACATGTTATAGAGTAGTAAGGGGAAAAATTGCATAATGGAAATAATGCACAGTTTTAACAATATGATTCAAAATTAACAAAATTATAACAGTCTAGAGAATAAAATCCAGTTTACAAAAACTTGAAAATAAATAGTCTAATTAAGAAAAGAATAAAACAGTATAAATAATTTATATATATATATGCATACATATGTGTGTGTGTGTGTGTGTGCGCGCGCGCGCGTGTGCGTGCGTGCGTGTGTATATATAATTTGTTGTTTTGTATAAATAATAGTTTTGTATAAATAATTTGTTGTCTTATATATAATTTTTTATAATTTCTATTCTAATGTTTTTTTATTCATGAATGATAATTTGAGAATTGAATTTCAAGCTTTACCAATAATTGTTAAGGTGGAAACAAAATCACACAAATTGGTTCATTTCTTTGTCTTTCTCTTTGCAGCAAAAGTAAAAAGCTTTCAAAGTGCAGTATTGTGTCTTGCATTGATTATTGGTGGTTCAGGCTTCCATAATAATGCTATTGCTGTAAATCCTTCAGATCTTGCTCCAAAACATTCCGGCAGTGTATTTGGCCTTATGAATACTGTTGGTGCGATACCTGGTATGTTTAATCAATATAACCAATTACATTAATAAATTTTGTAATTTGTTGTTTTTCAGGCTTTCTCGGTGTATATTTTTCTGGATATATCTTACATGTAACACACAGCTGGGCTGTCGTCTTCTCATTTATCGCTGTTATCAATGCTTTAGGATGTGTAATATATATATTATTCGGCTCGGGTCAAGCCATTATATAAATTATATCCTGTATGGCCAACGTGTTTCACTTTAAATTAAATTTTTATTTACATCCTTTTACATATAAAGAAGGAAAAGAGAAAAAAATTAATAACGCCGATTATAAATATTGTAAAATGAAAAATGTGTATTTATAATTGGCAATTCTATATTTTTCATTCATTTTTCGTTTATTGAACCATCAAGTAATAGATATGTTAAAACTAGCATTAGCTATCGTTAAAAATGAGCAGAGAGAGAGAGAGAGAAGGATGGAGCAGTGGGAAGGAATCAATTTTTAATAGACTTTAAAGATATGGATCTCGAGTTTTGTAAAACACATATGCGCGCCTTTAGAAAATCGTAAATTGACAACTAAAGTTTTTGCATTTTAGAAAAGGATATTTGAAAGAGGTTAAATGGAAAAACGATTCTTTGGCCGGTATTCATAGTCCGATCTTATATTTGAGATCGTCTTAAGTTCGAGCTCGAAATGCTACGCAGCTATTTGATTGGTTGAATGAGGTCTTAAGTCAACCTCCAAGCAGACTTAAGACGATCTTAAATATAAGATCGGACTATGAATACCGGCCTTTGATACTTTTCTTTCTCTAAATTTCTACAAGTATGTATTGCGCTTGTTAGGTATGGGTGGTATAATCCGATCATATTGTAATACATTTCTTATATTCACGACCATTTCTTCAGCACGCGTAAGGGCCCTCACGAAATTGCATAGCGCATATGCATAGCATAAGACCATATGGACCAATGAGCATCGAGTATTAAGTCACCATGGGTGCTTTCCATTTAGCGACACAAGTTAACACTAGCATCATTCTATCTTTTTTCAATGAATAACAACAAACAAAAATAGAATGACACTTGTGTCCACTTGTGCCGCTAAATGGAAAGCACCCCATATTGACTTATATAATATAATACTCGATGCTCATTGATCCATATGGATCCTATGTTATGCATATACATCGGAGGCCTATGGCTGGTATTCATAGTCCGATCTTATATTTAAGATCGTCTTAAGTTTGCTTGGAGGTTGACTTAAGACCTCATTCAACCAATCAAATAGCTATGTAGCATTTCAAGCTCGAACTTAAGACGATCTCAAATATAAGATCGGACTATGAATACCGGCCTTAAAGGCTTTTGCACAATGCTAGATACAGGCAATAGGAACAAAAATAATATCTATTCTTCGCTTTTAATGACCAATATTTTCGTGTTTTTATTGGCGAATAGTTTCTATTCCCTATTCCTACTGTCTGTTTGACATTGTGCAAAGGCCTTTATGCTCAATAGTGACCTAGCTTAAGCTTAAGTTACAATGGTTTCAAACTTGTCAGTGTAATTATTCAACAGACAATTTTACTGCAGATATTGTGTTTGCGTTAACTTTTCATCATTTTTACTGAATAATAAATAATTATTAATAGTTGTTAGGAAAAATTGTCATTGTGAAGAATAAGAATTATAAAGGAGCTACATCATATAACAAATTTCCATGGCATTTCCACTAAATGATCAGGTTTATACAAAATCCTTTACTCCCAGAGAATATCAGGTGAGTTTTTTTTTTTTTTTTTTTTTTTTTTGACAAATTTTGAGATATATATGAAATATTATAAATTACATACAAATTTTACGTATTGTGGCTAATTATATAAATTGTCCTTTGGTATTTAATTGTTAATTATTTGTAGGTAGAGCTTCTTTATGCGGCAAAAGAAAAGAACATAATTGTCTGTTTAGGGAAAAATTCTGAGCAAACATTTCTTGCTATAAAATTGATTCAAGAATTTGCTACTAATAATAGACGGTAATAGTAGTGCTTCTATTTATGTTTTAATAAATTACACTTACATTAGTATTTAATTATACTTCGTGTTGGGAAAAATATTTGTGTGAAAAATGTTGATTTGAATAAAGATAAAAAATATTAGCGCTATTACACACATACACACACAAGGAACATTTATTTCTAGTAAAGATTTAAATCTTTATATAGGAGTGTTTATAAAGGTTTTTTTATTTATCATTTTATGAATGTAATATATATCGTAAATATAAGATTAAATATTAAATATTAAATATTAAAATTTGTTAAATACATTGGGATTTATTCATTTATATAGATCAATAAGTGATGGTGGAAAACGGACAATATATATATTAAATGACGAGGATAAATGTACAATAATAGCAACTTATATAAAACAATTGACAGATCTGAAAGTATTAGCATGCAATTCTAATATATTTAAAGAATTTGCTGAACATTTTGAAAGATCTCATGTAAGAGAAAAATATATTATCAAGTATTTATTGATATATATTAAGTACTCATTAAGATAAAATCTATTATAAGCATTCTTTTTTTTGCGATACATTTTATTTTGTATACAGGTATTAGTTGGAACTGCAAAAGTTTACGCACAATTAATATCAGAAAGTAAACTTTTATCATGTCATATAAATCTAGTCATAGTGGATGAGTGCCATAAGTCTATTGAAGACAGCAATTTAAAGTTTGTTCTTCAAACTTTTTTATTGTGCAACAATGTTCCTAGAATAATCGGATTAGCAGTACCTGTGTTTAATTTGACACAAGAATCTGGAAGATTGGGCCTAGAAATAGAAAAAGTGGAAGCTGCATTTCAATGTAATTTAGAAACTGCTAATGATATCCTTTCAGTAATACGGTAAGCTTAATAATAATTTTAATCATTTTCCTTTTATAAAGAAAATGTCTAAGAAACTATTTGCAGTTAGCTAAGAAACAAGGAATTATTTGCAGTTATAGTCCAAAACCGAGAGAATACATTGTGGAGTATGACAAAGGAGAAAAGAAAGACTTGTACAATATGCTTGAAAGTTGCGTGTTACATGCTATTGAATTTTTACGCGATCATCGATATGATCCAATGGAGATTTACACTGAGGAGTTTTATGAGGATATTCAGAAAATCCCTGATCCTATACAAAAACCCTTTGAGATGATGCAAGATTTTCTGCATATATTAGAAACTCTTGGACCATGGTGTGCAGATCGCGCTGCTCTAGCATTATTATTTTTAACAGAAAAATTAAAGATTAAAACTCCTTACGAGAGGCATTATCTGCTATTAAATATGATGGCATCTGTTTTTATAAAAATTCGGTAAGAATTCATAATAACAATTATGATATCTGCTTACTAATTAGTTTTGGTGGGCATAAACTTGAGTTAAATTTCTCTAAATGCAAATTACAGTCATGTTTCTATTTTCAAAAAATATCAATATACATATGCACATTATATTATGTATACACATTTTTCTTAATATGTACTTTACATATTATGTTTTTTTTTCTAATTTTTTGTGTGTTTATGTGGTAGGATTAAAAAATCGATATTATTATTAATTAAATATTAAAATTATTTTATAGTGCTCTTTGTGATAATGAATTTCAACGTTTATCCGAGAAAGAAAGAATATATCAATATAGCACTCCAAAAGTTCATCAACTGTTACAAATTTTGAAAATTTATACTCCTTTTTATGCTAAGGAGACTAATACTTTGGAAAAAAAGGCAAATGCCGGTAAGAATCTTTTCTAATATATAAAGTAGACAATAATATGTTTTATTGTATAGCTTAAAGTATATATATATTTTTTTCAGATATTAATTCAAAGAATTGTGTCACGAAAAATGACAAGGAAATTTCTTTCTCAAGAAATCAGGAGAAACCAACACAGTTGAAAAGATTTGGAGCTAATTGGAAATTTAATGATGACACTTGCAGAAAGACATCCAAATTGCAACGTTATCCATGCAATAGTGCAGATCCTGATTTACTGTGTGGAGTAATTTTTGTAGATAAAGGCTTTACAGCTAAAATTTTATTTTATTTGTTAAGCGTAAGTATATGAGTATGTATAAGTCTTATTGCAATATAATAGTTGTAAAATATTGTTTAAATAATTGTGAATTCGTATATCAATAACTTATAGGAAATATGTAAACACGATGAAGATTTGCATTTTTTATCACCTCTTTATACAATTGAAAGAAATAATGATGATGTTAATTATTCAAGAGATTTAGAAATTGAGCATAGGAAGCAGGAAGAAGTTTTAAAGCGATTTAGAATTCACGAATGCAATTTATTGATTGCAACTTCAATCTTAGAAGAAGGTTTGTAAAAACTTGTTTTTATTATACTAAATTATTATACTACTTATTATATATACTAGATATTTTTCCCTAAACACGATCCACTTTTTAAGGATGGATTAAAGATACAGGATTTAAAAAGAAAAAAAAAGCATTACACGATTAAGTTTTCCTTTGCAAGTTGCAAAATATAACTATGTTTGTAGGAAATATCTATAATATATGTACATTTTTCTTTTATATTACTGTACTTATATATTTGTTTGTTTCATTTATATATGACACTTTTTTTTCAAGTTAACATTATATTTATCGCAACTTGTACAATATCTTTACATTATGTTTTTTTTTTACAGGTATTGACATTCCAAAATGTAATTTTGTGATGAGATATGATTTTCCAAAGAATTATCAATCGTATGTGCAATGCAAGAGCAGAGCAAGAGCTGTAGATGCTTTGCATGTATTATTGGTACCACAAGAAGCATCTAAAGATTTTATATGGCAATTAGCTCAATATCAATATATAGAAAAGGTATAACTCATAAAACTTTAACTTCGAATTTTATAATTTACCTTGTAAAGTTTTAGAGTGTCTTGTAAAGACGCTTATTCAATATTAATTAAATTTTACTTTATATTTCGGCTTACCTTTTCGATTGTACAGTATTGCACATACTGTTTAATTTATTCATAAACTTTAGTGCATACCAGTTTTATTATCAACCTTTAACCCATGGTTCATTATCTGTGCCAACCTCAGTCGAAAATTGTAATGGAAGGGCATCAATCTATTTTGTAGACTTTATTATTAAAATGTTCTAATAAAGAGCTAACTGAGGAGGAAGAGAACGAGGCAGATATGTACGCTGCAATGATACCACATTATAAACCACTTAATGGAGATGAT